TGTGTGTGTGTGTGTGTGTGTGTGTGTGTGTGTGTGTGTGTGTGTGTTGGCAGGGGGCATCTTTAGCTACATAAGCAAATTCAAAGTCAGCCTAACATAAGATCCTGCCTAGAGAAATAAAAAGATTGGACCTTCTGAGTCTCGGTCCTACCTCCAGACCAGTGGAAAGCATCAGGGAAGGCCCCAGTGCTCCTGGCTTGCGTGCTGCTTTGGGGGGTCCCCTTCCTCTCTCTTCTTTGCTTTATCTGAGGCAAAGTCTTAGTCATCTCAGGGTATTTTTGTTTTGGGAAAGGAAACAAAGGAAGAGGAAGAAGAAAGTGACTCTCTGGAGATATGATAATCACTTCAGTTAAAAAAAAATATTTTTGAGGGGGATGGAGAGATGGCTGGATGGTTAGGAGCACTTGGGATTTCAGGAGACCCTGGTTCAATTCTGAGCACCCACATGGTGGCTCACAACCACCTGTAACCCTAGTTTTAGGAGACCTGACGCAATATACTGACCTCTGCAGGCACCAGGCACCCATGTGGCGCACAACATACATTACACAACATACATTACATACATGTCTGTTTACATACATCCATGTAAGCAAAACATCCACAAATGTAAAATAAATACGAGAAGAAAAACATTTAAAAGTAATATTGTCAGGTCTGATTCCAGTTCTGAAACAGTATTAGTAAAGAAATTATAAGATCGTCTCTCTTGGAGACTTAAATTCCAGAAGCAACAGATAATACACGGGAAAGCCTGAAGCATAAGAGTAAGAAACATTATGAAGAAAACAGGGTCTCCTACCTGTCACCCAGCACCTGGAAGCCTGGCAAACATGAGAAACTGTCTCAAACAGCAAAGATGGACGAAGTCACCTGGCTTTGACCTTAGCCCCCTAGCCCTATATATGAAAGATAGAGGGGGCAGATTTAGAAGAGAAAAGCCAACTACAGTGTCACTGAGGTCTGAGCAGGGTTTCTCTAGGCAGGGTATAGGCAGCCATGTGGGTGTGAGGACCAGGCAGAGCCTCCAGAAGAAGGATGTGACTTATCAAGCTTATGCCTGGACCCTAGATTCCTCCCAGGCATAGCCAAAAACAAACAAAACAAAATCACTCTGGGTAAACAGCTTTGCCGTCTCTTCAGCTCACTAGTCAGCCGCAAAGCTCGGAAGACAAAGTCATACATGGAGATGGGGACACTGAACAGAGGGTGAGATGCTCAAGACAGACCCATGTCAGCTGCCATAGGAAGAGACAGAAGCCAATCAGAAGACAGCAGGAGAATACTTAGTAACTCAGCAAGAGACAGTCTAGAGCTCAGATTAAGAGTGCAGTCAGGGGAAACTGGAGAAGCAGAAGGCTGGCAGTGTGGGAACTGATCAGGTATCTAAACAGAAAGCTGGTTTACAGCAAGGACAGGTAAGAATCGGACACAACTTAGAGGAGGCCTTGTGGAGCCATTTCTGTTTCAGGAGCATCTTTTATCCCATCGTTGCTGAGACAGGGTTTCTCTGTGTAGCCCAGGCTATCCTGGAACTCACTGTAGACCAGGCTGGCCTCCAACTCAGAGACCCACCTGCTTCTGCCTTCCAAGTGCTGGGAATAAAGGTATGCACCATAACTGCCCGGCCTGTGGCAGGCTTTTATTTTGCTGTTTGACATTGGGGATTGAACTCTGGGCCTTGTTCTATCAGTGAGCCCTATTTTACTTTTTATTTGGAGACAAGATCTTGCTAAGTTTTCCCAGGATGGCCTGGAACTCATTACGTGTACAACCCTGGCCCTCAACTTGTAAAATCTTCCTGCCTTAGACTCCCTGCATTAAGACTGCAGGCCTTAATGGTATCCTCGTTTCCAGCTCATACCTAATTGTCAGTTATATTCTTGTACTTAGATTCTGAGATACTCAACTGACCTCATTGTATACCTTACCAGAATTGTAGTTAAAATCATACTATTTTATTTATGGTGCACACTCCTGTGAGAGGTTAGAGGACAGCCCTCAGGAGTTGGTTCTCACCTTTTACTATGTGAGGTTGTTGGGTTTGTATGGCAACTTTTTTTTTTTTTTCGAGACAGGGTTTCTCTGTGTAGCCCTGGCTGTCCTGGAACTCACTCTGTAGACCAGCCTGGCCTCGAACTCAGAAATTCACCTGCCTCTGCCTCCCAAGTGCTAGGATTAAAGGTGTGAGCCACCACCGCCCGGCTGTATGGCAACTTCTTTTACTGGAGCCATGCTATCAGACCACAGAATTTGGTGCGCTCTCTCGGTTTCTCTCTTTCATAGGGTTTCTCTGTGTAGCCCTGGTTGTCCTGGAACTTACTCTGTAGACCAGGTTGGCTTTGAACTCGGAGACATGTCTGCTTTTTGCCTCCTGAGTGCTGAGATTAAAGTCATGAACCACCACTGCCCATCTTATTTGTGTATATGTGTGGTTTTTTTTTTTTTTTTTTTTTTTGAAACAGGGTTTCAGGGTTTTGGAACTCACTCTGTAGACCAGGCTAGTCTCAAAAATCAGAGATCTGCCTGCCTTTGCCTTTCAAATGCTGGGATAAAAGGCATGTGCCACCATACCCAGTTTTGTTTTTATTTTTGAGAAATCTTACTCTGTAGCTCATGCTCACCTAGAATTCACTATGTAGCCCCAGCTAGCCTCCAACTTGTAGCAATCCTTTCCTTAGCCTCCTAAGTCCTGGCAATATAGGCCTGTATGACCACAACTGGCTCTATACAAGGCTGAAAATGAAACCTAGAGTTAAGGCTTGTTAAAGGAAAACACTAAACTTTCTCAGCTCTTTTTTTTTTTTTTTGTCTTATTTTTATGATTTGCTGGTCTGTGTGTGTGGAGAATGCAGTTTTCTAAGGAAGCCAGAAGAGGGCAATGAAGGTTCTGAAGCTGGAAGTGAGGAAACTGTGAGCCCCAAGTGATGGAATCTCTGCAAAAGCAGCGTGTACTTTTAACCAGAGCCATGTTTCAGCTCTGTAGCTGACATATCTACATCTGAGTGTGTTTTGTTCACATCTGATTTTGCACTACATATTTGCTGCCAGAGGAGGCTGGAAGAGGCTGTCCGAGTCCCTGAGACTGGATTTACAGTTGTATGATGCCATGAGTGCTGGGAACTGGATTGAACCTTAATCCTCTGGAAGAGCTCTTAACTCTTTTTTTTTAAAGAATTATTTATGTATATGAGTACACTGTAGCTGTCTTCAGACACACCAGAAGAGGGCATCAGATTCCATTACAGATGGTTGAGAGCCACCATGTGGTTGCTGGGAACTGAACTCAGGACCTCTGAAAGAGCAGTCAGTGCTCTTAATCGCTGAGCCATCTCTCCATCCCCTGCTTCTTGATATCCCTAATCAAAAGTTTAATACTGAAAGTCAGCAGTGTGAACCTGGACTCGCAGCCTGTCTGAGAGAAGACAGGCTCAAGCTGCAGAGTCCTCATTCTGGTGAGTAGCCTTTCCCTGCCTCCTCTTAAAGCTCAACCCCTGTGGGTTTTCTAAAAGCCCAAATCTTGGGAAACTTGATGGCAAAATGTCATATTAAAGTGTCAGCCATTTTTCAAGGTTGTAAGTTATCATTAATCAAATCCCAAGAGGCTACTTAGGAAGCACAGAACTTAACCTTTTTCTATGAGGTCAAAGGGCAGAGTAAAGGCAGCCCTTTGGGCCACATTGTTGGTGTTTCTAGAGCCAAATTAGATGTCAAAAATCAGTGTTGCCCTGTTTGGCAACGGGAATGAGCACATTTGAGATAACTCAGAGAACAAGGAACACACTGAGCCTGGACATGCCACAGCAGCTCTATGTAGCACTTGCTGGAAGGGTGCATTCCCCACTCTGTAAATCCTAGCCCCAGGTTCAAAGAACATGACTTCACAAGATTCCAGCCATAGGTAAATCTGTGACCAAACAGATAGCAGCCAAGGTTTTTAGCTGTTTGTTGTTTTAACTTGTATGTGTGTGTGCCTATCTGTATATGGCCATGTGTCCATAGAATCCAGAACAGGTGGTTGGACCCTGATACACACAGCAAACTACTTGATGTGGGTGCTAGGAACTGAACCCAGGTTCTTCTTTTAAAACCTCTCTTTTAGTACCATGCAAAAAATTAAAGATTTATGTATATGAGTGCTCTATTTGCATATGTGCCTGTATAACAGAAGAGGGCATCAGATACTGCCACTGCACCTCCAGTGAAGTCTGTGTGACAAGAGTAAAATCTTGGATGCTGACTCCTGAGGCAAGTGCTTCAAGGAAGCTTGTCTCCTGGAGAGTCCTGGCAGCCCCTGAAAAGGATGTGTTCCAGATTTGTTCTTGCTATTACCAGGAGAGGGTTCTGTGCCATATCTTTTGTGTTACTAATCTTTTTGGAAATACTCAGTTTGGAAAACAGGGTATGATTGAAGGGTTTATCAGATTGGATACTCCAGATTTGGCCACATAAGAGGCTTTAGTAAATTCATAGCAAGGTGTTTTTAAATTGACCTTTGGAATAAAGGATTAGATTACTTATATAGGAAAATTGCCCCCAGTACTTAGGGTTAGGGCTAGCTGTTCCAGTACCATATGCAGGAGTGTATGCTGGACAAGGCAATAGGTGGGTAGAGCCAGAGTTCTTTATCAAACTTTGAATTGGCTAGAGAGGGTCGCTGGGGCATAATCACCCTGGTACCTTCTATAATAAGAAAGCATTAAGGGACACTATTCAAAGTCTGGATGTTGGTGTGTTAGGCAATGGGTTGCAGAACACTGGGATAGTGCCTCTCAAGGCCTGTGGGGGTTGTTAGACACCAAAGTCCAAGAATACACTGACCTCAGACAATACTGATATCATCTTTGTGAACTCACCGACTGACTCCTGATGGGTCTCATGAAAAGTTATTTTTTCTGTTTGATGTTTAAACTGGCCATGTGTGGCCCGACTGATCTCGGCTATTGTATAGTGATTAACTTCCCCTTTTTTCTGTTTAAAAGTCTGATGCTTGCACATATGAATTACAGCACCATCTTGTGTTTGTGTCTGTTTGTCACTCACCAACTCCTTGCCCTCCTATTACTGGTTCTCCCCGGGTGTGGGACCCCCGACTGGGTCTGCCCTCCACAAGATCCCATTACAGATGGTTATGAGCCACTATTGTTGCTGGGAATTTTGAACTCAGGACCTCTGGAAGAGCAGCCAGTATTCCACTGAGCCACCCCCCCCCTTTTAAAAAATTATTTAAAAAATTTAGATAGCCATGGTTTTAAAGGAATCTTATCAGCAAAGTCCTAAACTTGGCAACAGGGCCCATATTGTCCAGTCATTTAGGTAATCTGCTGAATGCCTACAATATTCAGTATTACAGGCAGCTGGGTGGTAGCTGACTGACAAGATCCCTTTTAATTTCAGGGAATTTAGATAGTACTGCTTCCAATGCCACTAGGAACAGACTTTGAAAGGACAAGGCTGGCAGTGTGGCTCAGTGGAGTTGTTCTGACCTCATGCAGGAGGCCTTCCATTCAGTCTTAAGCACTAGGGAAGAGTTCTGTAAGGGTACAGTGCTTACCTCATTCCTGACCAAAGACAACAAAGCAACATTCCAGCCTCCTCCTAATGAACCAAATGGTCCTTTGTCTAGCTTTGACTTGTTACTAGTGTCTTTAACACTTAGTACTCCTCAGATTTCATTTTACAGTGCTGACTGCCTTAGTGAATTTTGTAAAGAGCCAGAGATGATAAAGGGTACTGCCAGCTTGTGAAGGAGCAGAGAGCAAAGTTAGCAGTCATTGTAGGGCTACTCCACAGCCCTAGCTAGGCTATTGTGAGTGTAGCATAAGGAGCCCGTCTGCGACAGTAAAAGACAGTGTGACCCTCTGAAGAGGATGCACCATGTGCTGTAAGACTAGTTACTCTGGAAGAAGTAGGCATAGGTCTTAGGAGAGTTTCATGGCAATGTGTAAGACGTAGAGGCTGGGGTGGCAGAGGCAGGAAGAATGAGGGTGGAAAAGGTACTTAAATATGGCAGCCATCCAGGGCTTAAGTCTGACCTGAAGGACTGGTGGATGAAGGCACCTAGGAAAGCAAGCTGCCTGCACAGATGGGCACAGCAGGAGGCTGTCTGGGGTTCAGCTAATGGTCTAGCCCCTTGACACTCCTTTATGTTTGAGAGGCCAAGAGATGGTTTAGTGGTAAGAACCCAGGCTCAAAACTCACATGGTAGCTCACAACCACTTACAATGCCAATTTCAGGGGATCAGACATCGTCTTCTGGCAACAGTTGTTCATGTGTTTCACAGACCCATGTGTAGGTAAAATACACATAAAATTCTTTTATGAAACTATGAGTCTGATGTTATGTGAGGGGGGAGGTCAGAGAACAGCTTTTGAAACTGGTTATCTCTTTCCACTGTGGGTTCCAGAGACTGAACTCAGGGCCTCAGGTTTCTTCAGCAAACATCTTTGCTCACTGAGCCATTTTGTTGGTCCTGATTTATCTTGTGATTTAATTCTATTTCTGCACCAATTTGTTCACATAGTAAAATTTCAAAGGTACTGCTCCATGAAGGACCAGGAGAAAACCAGTTTATCATCAATAGAAAAACCCTGACCAGGCAGGGCTTGAAGGAGAAAAGAACTCAGTAGGTGAAGGTGCCAAGGCTGACAACTTCAGTTCTATCCTATGATCCAAATGGTGGAGAGGACCGACTCCCACGTGCACCCTGGTAAGGATGTGCATGCACACTGCAATTAAGTATAAACGACAAAACCGTGTTCTAAATGTCATCACTGCAGCGGATTCCACATCTGCTCTTCAGCCTTATGGTCCAGGTTCATCTTCCAGGGTGGGAGCATGGAAGATGTCTTGCACCTAAGCCTTGCACACACTGGCAATGTGCCCAGGATCCACTCTGCTCATACATAGCCAGTAAATTACAAACTGCTTGGCAATCAGTGATATCTAAATCAATGTCACTTCTCCTCAAAACTAAGAGTATGTGTGTATGTGCCTGTGTGTTTTAAAGACAGGGTCTATATAGCCCTGGTTGTCCCAGGACTTTCGATGACCAAGCTCACCAAGCTGACCTTAAACTCACAGGGATCCACTGATCTCCTAAGTGCTGGCATTGAAGGCAGACACCATTATTCTCAGCTTCTGTTTTTAAAATCAGTTTTTACTTTGTAGCATAGGCTCCTCTGGAACTAGAGGTAATCCTTATGCCCCAGCCTCCCAAATTGGATATTGAGTTTCAGCACTTCCTGCATAGTATTACTGACCTATATCCTTATATCTCCAGGCCCCAAAGAGACAACTATCAAAGACTGCTCAGTAACCCACAAAGGTAACCACTGCCTTTACCATGCAGTTGATGTGAGCATAAGACAGACAGCTTTCCTGAGCTGTTCTTTCTTCACATTTTTAAGAAGCTGAGTAAGGGGTGGGTGAGAACTAGGGATGATTCCTCCTAGCAGAGCACATGGTTCTTTCTCCCAGGACTAAGCACCTCCTACCAGAGAGGCCATTAACTTTGTCTTAACCCATTACCTAGGAAGTACCCCTTTTTGAGGGGTGTACCTGTGATGACAGACTTCCTCTTAACCCTGCGTGCAGTGGGTGACACGGAAAGCCCGCTTCCCAGGATTCCTTGTCGTCTCTTCCCTACAAACTCTGCTTGACAAGAACAGACAAGACAACTCTTACCAGCTTTCAGGAAGGACCTTCTTTCTGCCTTCTCTGGAATAAAGGACAGAGCCTGGGTTTCCAGTGAATTGTGGGCAGAGCTGGCTTACAATGCTGTCTGCAGGAGCTGCTTTGTCCTTGGGTTTTATCAGAGTTCAGTCCCTCCCTCTTTGTCCCTGTTGCAGCTCTTTCACATGGGCCAGCAGGCACTAAGTCCTCCTTCAGTCCTTGCCACACTGCACTTTAAGTCCAAGTTTGGATCAAACTTCGGAGGTCACACACCAGGCCAGAGGTTGCTAGTAGGGTATTAGAAACAGAGCTGAGAAGTATTAGGACTAATACAGTTGAGCGCAGGGTAATTGGGGACTCCCTACCATTCAGATGTCAGAAAGTTAGACAAACAAGTGGTGAAGACTACAAGTGGCAGGACCTGAGCAGCCATTTCCGTGAAGACACAACTACCTTGTCAGCCAGCTGGACACACTGGGGCAGACAGCAAGTGAGGAGAGGGTCAGCATGGGATCCTAAGTCAGTGCTCCGGCCAGATGAGTGTGGCTGTTGACCTGGGGGATGTGATGTACAAGAAGGGTGTGTACCATTTCATATGCGCTGTGACCGATTGTATATGCTTCTTGGTTACACACACCTTTTGTTTTCTGAGATAGGGTCTCACTTTGTAGCCTGGTTGGCCTGGAAACCTACTATGTAGACCAAACTGGTCTTAAACTCACAATCCCCAAGTCTCAGCCTCCAGAGTGCTGGGATGACAGGCATGCAGTACCACACTCAGCTAATGCATTCCCTTTGCAGGTGATGGACTGCCAGGCAAGCACTCCACTATGGAGCTACACACCAGCTTCATACACTTTCATAACTGTAGGTAAATGTTACTGTTACTCTTGCAAAGAACTGGAATTCGGTTTCAAGCACTGACATGGCAGTTTATAACTATGTGTAATTTGATGATGACCTCTGTGGGCATTAGGCAAGGACATGGTGCATACAAAGTCAAAAAATCCATACACATAAAAGAGAAACCAATAAATTAAAGAGAGAGAATTCAGTGGATATTAGTGGCTTCTACCTGTAATCCCAGGACTTGAAACATCAGTCTTCAAATAGTGGGACTACATAATTGTCATAAGCCTGAAGCCAGCCCTCACTACGGAGTGGCCCTGTCTCAAAACGAAAAACCAAAACCCCCAAATAAAAAAGGAGGAGTGGGATGTAGTTCAGTTGGTACCTGCCTAGAACCTATGAAGTCCACCCAAATCTCAGAGCACAGTATAAGTGGAAATCAGGAAGTAGCAGCAGGAAAAACAGGAAATTAAGAGTGTATTTGGCTAGAAAGCAAATTCTAGATTTGCTTGGGCTTCATGAGAGTCTCAAATGAACAAAACCCCAAACCAAATCAAATAAAACAAAAAAACTGGGGTGACATCACCAGCTAGGAAGGACCCATAGTAGATGAAAGCCAAGGCAGACGGGAGCTTCAGCTTTGGTTCCATTGCAGGCAGAAAGAAAGAAGGGTGAAGGAAATGCATATGAACTCTTTAAGCAACTTTCCAGGCAGGGTCAAAGGCCCACTTGCTTCCAGAGTAGCACTGCAAGATCCCAAGTCAGCTAGTAAGGCAGTATTTCCGATGCCCCAGGCCCAATAAACCAGTCTTGTTACTGGGATACCCTAACAACACAGGTACATAGTCAAGATTTCCAACCACTGTTCTGGCTGGTTTACAATCTTGAGTGCATCAGCTAAACTAATCTCTTTAAGGCAGGTTTTGTATAGCCCAGAAAACCATCAAGAGGCAGTCTAACTGGCAGGAGCTTTTTGACTAAAATGTTGCAGCAGCTGATGGGCTATCATGTATTACTAGGCTGTTAGCGCAAAGGACTACAGTTTTGATGTGTTAGGGCTACAGTTTCAAAACATTGAGGTGCAGGGAAAGTAGGAAGGTGAACTGGACTGAGATCAACAAAAGGCAGGCAGACAGAAGTGAGTGACCTAGATCAGGGTGGATGCTAAGGGAGTTCCTCAGCATTGATTTCTTCCCAGGTGTAGAACAGAGGACATGTTACCATCTAGCCAGCAGCATAAGCTGGATTCCACAGTTCTTCAGGAGACAGTAGTGCTATCTATCCACAAGGTATGAAGGTAAAACTCAGCTCAGATCAGAAAGGTGTGAAGCTCTAGATTAGATGCCAGGCCCTTCCTCTGTGGGTGTGCTCTTAAACTCTGAGGCACATTACCACAGGGGTGTCCCACATGGTCAGGGCCCTTCATGAGCTGCTCAGGCAGAATGAGGAAGGTGTCAGAACCTACATTTTAACCAGTTTCTAGATGATGCTCATTTGTTCATAATGTAGGTTCCCGTCTGACAGACACAACAGGTCAGACCTGGCCCGTGCACTGATGTCTGTCCAAGTCAAATGTGTGAACACACCAAGAACCATCCTGCTTTGATGAATAAGCAACAAACCGCTCTTCATACCCTTCAATTCTGGCTAAGCACTGCCCCTTCCAGCACATTGCTGTAGGCCTTCAATTGCTTCCTTCAATGCTTTCCCCTCTTTACTAACTCCAAGAACATATATATATATATATATATATATATATATATATATATATATATATATATGTTCTTATAAGACACTTAGATGATATGCAAATACCAGGTTACACAGGGACTTTAGCAACTGCAAACGGGAATCCTGGAACCAATCCCTTAATGACACAGGGCAACTGTACTTACTGACAAGGTGGTTAGGAGTCACTCCACATCTCAGTTTTTGGTATACTCCAGGCCAGGCTGTGCTGGATCTTGTCTTTGCCTTCCTATAAAGACTTAACTCCTTCTTATAGTGAAAACTCTTGATACAATCTAAGGAGCTGGCTTCCCTGCTTCAAACAACTCTGCCCAGCTTTAACTGGCCAGACTAGAGCGGATGGTCCTATGCGGTCAGAAATGAGCTGACAGGATTCTACAAGCAAGTTGTGGTTTTCCACTCCTCAAATGGTCTTAAGGCACCTGAATTAAAATTCGCATCATGGAGGCAGAGGGGCAGGGACTCCAGCATACAATAGCTCAATCTGGGCATTTCCCAGCTGCCTTCTTGGCTGCTACCGCACAGTTCACTTTGCACTGAAAGCTTTTGGTAAAACTGCCTCAGGAAACTAGAGGAGTGAGCCTTGTAAGCACAAAGGAGACTGAAACAAATGCACAAACACTGTTCTTTCAAAAGCTCAAGGAACTGAATCCAGGGCAACAGATCAGCAAGGCCAAGCTACCAGAGCGAAGTGGGGGGGTGAGGACAGTGAATTCTGCCTAGACAGGCAGCAGCAACATCAGTGCTCAGAGCTCAGCCACCCTTGGCTGAGCTGGAAGGACTTACAGCCACCCAGGAGCAAAGAGCTCACAGCCAATGATACCACTGTACATAATAACCACAGGCCATTCCCCATCCAGAAGATTCCACCTAGGTATTTCCCCAACTATTAATACTTTTGAGGGAGAGATTAGAGCAAAACCACCCAGACAGGGGCTGCTTGTAAGTAAAGGTGCCTTGTTTCCTGAAAGGGACATCACAGACAAGACAATCTCTGAGATTTACCTTCAGTGTCTCCAATGGCCAAAATGGAGTGGCTCATGGACACCTCACAGCTTCCTTTCTTCCCTAAGCCACATTATTCTGCTTGTATTTTCTTTGTTTCTGGTCCAGTTTAAACAAGGAAGTTCATAACACAGGATCTTACATGTTACCTGCTAGACCAAAACTGTTATCCAGAGCTGGGTGGCTGTAGGTAGGCCTTTAATTCTAGCACTAGACAGAGAGTGCAAGACGATCTTTGAGTTCAAGGCCAGCCTCATCTTTGAACCCCAGGACAGCCAGGACTGTTACACTGAGAAACTGTCCAGAAAAACAAAAGTTATCTAGAAACGATTTCCAAGAGGCCGAATTAACTGTCTGCTCTAGCGAGTTTTAAAATCAAGCTGACTAGTAGAAGACATTATTTTTTGTTGTATACAGGATTTAGCATTGTTTGTTTGGTCAAGATGATTTGATTTGTGTAGAATAATAGATGCTTTCTTTGAGATGGGATCTTGTGGATCCTAAGTTGTGACACATGTAGACAAGAGAACTTTACCTTTGGTCTTCTGCCCCTCTGCCTCTGTAGTGCTAAGATTACAGACACACAACAACACATCTGGCTGTATCAGGAGATGGAGTTGAAACTTGAGGCCTCACCTATGGTACAGACACTCTAAACCACTGCCTGTATATTATGTGCACAATGTAAGTCAGCACTGAACACTCTTAGGACTGGAATTCCAGGCATTTGTGAGTTGGTATGTGGGTGCTGGGAGAAGCATGTACTTTTAATCCTGAGTCATTCGTCCAGGCCCAGAGCTAAATTCTTAGTAATCTGGCTTTCCTTGTTGAGGAAGTATGTAATATGGGGGTTTGGGGTAGAGAATATCTAAGTCAGAAACCCAAGTTCCTATTTTTTAAGGGACAGTAGTGTGCACAAGGAAGCAGCTGTTGGGATGAGTAAGGCAGTGATGCAGCTGGGCTGGCTCTTTTGAGAAGCTAGCACATGGGGCTGGAAGCCAGTGTCTTGCCATCCCACTCTAGGCAAACAGAAAGCACTACTAGAGAGAACAATGTGACCAGCATAATGCAGACCTAGGTCTCATTGGTGTGTGACAGTGTTTATCCTATAGCTTACTGGGTGTCCAGAAGTCACATAGACCTGCAACTACCACACCAGAAAACAAAGACACGGCATATTTTATACAAGAGATGCCCCTTTCTCTTATGTAAATGTTCTCAGAACTAGGTGTTTTACTTTTCTTTTTGTTTTGTATTGAAGGGGCCTGGGGCTGGATAGATGGCTCAGCAGATGAAAATGCTTGCCTTTTTAAGCCCACCAATCTGGGTTTTAGCCCCAGAACCCATGTGAAGGTGAAGAGACAAGTCCTCCTTGCATTAGGTGGTCTCAAGCTACTAACTGTCCTTCAATCTTCAGAGTTCAGAGACTGTGGTATAGGTATATGTATGGTTGAATTATTATGGAATGACGACTACTTAAAAGTCTAAAAAGAATAAAGGCAGTTAGGAGCTTTGGTCTAAGACTACAGTTGATTAAAAGAACCTAGCTACTTAATCAAAAACACTTCCCAGGAACTAGAAGTAAAAACAATTGAGTTAGCCTAACCTTCCTTGGGCTTGCAGCTCCCTCTTCTGGATACTTGCAACTTGGATGACTGCAGGCTGCAGATATCTATGGATCTGTCTGTCAACCGACTGACTGCCCACCAAAGGCTCTGCAGGGAGAGCAGCCAATGCCAACATGGCCATCACTTTTAGGAAGAAGATACCTGCAGCCAGCCATCCACTGTAGCTGGGATGAGGATAGAGGCACATAGACTAGCTGTGTTGGGTTTGTTCTAGCCATAATTAAGACTGTAGCACTGTGAAGACTCTTGACATCTAAGTGAGATGCAGAAGAATCCTTACAAGTGGCGGGCACTGCTCAAATAGGAATCTGGCCTGATGACAAAAGGGACACATGAACACACACCAGCACACACACCAAAGCCTTACTAATTTAACAATGTACTTTATACAAAATAACCAGTTCATATGGAAATAAATCTACAGATCTCCAAAGATCAAAAAAGCTTTTTAAAATGTTCTTTCAAAAAATTATCCAACACACAGTATTAAGCTAACTATTGAGGTAATTGTCGCTCTCAGTGAAACAGCCGGGAATCAGCAGACCATGACAAAATATATACAATATAAAAATAAATACCATTCCCCCTTTCCGATACTGGCCAGGACAGTTCATAGGGCATTCACTTCCGTAGCAAGAGTCCAATGTCATATACTGTGTGCAGACTGGCAATTCGGGGCTAGGGCCCCGAGGAGCTGCCCACAAGTCAAACGAGAGAAGTATCCCCTGCCTAGAGAAATGAGGGGGCCACAGAGGCTCCAGAATGAGGTGGAGGAAGGCAGCATTTCAATAAATTACTCAATATCCATACAGCTGTCCCCACTGAACCCCAAGGGGGAGGATGAAACAAGAGCAGCTAACTTAAGCCAAACTAGAAGGCTTGTTGTCCCACCTCACTTAGAGAGTATGTTTAACCCAAGACTGACAGAGAGAGATACAGAGCTTAGCACCAAGGCTAAGCTTGTGTCAGCCTACTGTGTGTGGGCATGCAACCCATCAAAGGGAAGGTCTACGTCAGGTCCTAAGCCTCTATGGAGTTTAGTGTGCTCAAACAGAAAAAGGTAGACAGTGCCTTTCACCAGCAAGTATCAATCATATCTGTCACATTCATTCTTGGGGGTTGTTTGCTATTTTAATGGGAGTCTCACTACTTAAGCTTTGGCCTGAAGCTAGATCAAGCAGGCCTTGCACTCAGAGATCCTTCTGCCTCTGCCTGCTGGAATTAAAGGCCTGTGCCACAACACTCAGCTCACATTTGAACTAAAGCTGTGGTGGAATTCATGGTGGAAGGGGGAATGCCTCTCTGCATGTTCCACCCAAATGCCAAGTGTCTTTGCTATAGCTGTTGACAAGAGCTGCCCACATTCCAGAAACCCTCAGGACTCAACACTCATCGATACCCTGTTGTGAAGGGAACACAACAGGGTTAAGTATATATATATATGGAAGGAGGCCAAGAAAGGAACTGTAAAGAATGCTAGAAGATCAAATGAGGTCATTTCAAACCCGAGGATTTTGACACCTGACCTTGACCCCAGATTAAACCTTTCCGGTGAATTTCAAGTTAGTTTTTTTTTTTTTTGAGAGTTGGGGTGATGGTGGTAACTAAGGGTTGAAGCTAGGGCTTCAAGTATGCTGCACAAGTGCTCTACTACTGAGTTATATCCCACCCCCCCTTTTCACTTTGGAGTCGGCATCTTACTAAGTTGCTCAGGCAAGGCTAAACTTGTGATCACCCAGCCCCAGACTTGAAAGAGCTGGGGTTACAGGTTTACTCCACCAGACCTACCTTATTTGAACATGCACATGCTAGCCAAGTGCTCTACTATAGAACTGCATCTTCAGTACCTCCCCCACCTCTGATCAGGCCTTAAGAACAGTTTATCATTTATAGATTTGAACATTCATTAAAAGGAAAAGTCTGACCATGAAGTCATGTTGGTGGCAAACCTGGTGAGAACTACATTGGGACATCTGTGTGTTTAAGTCTAACATTCAACATGCACACCTTTTAATGCCAGTAGAAGTTAACATAGAAAACAATCATACAGCCAACAAATGCCATTGGACAATAACACCAAATGGCCAGTCATGAGACAGGCTAGAATAACTGACACTTAAAGTTGAAATTTGATTGAGCTGAGAGGTGGAGACCACAGGTCTTAAAAGTTTTCCATATAGTTTATAATATGGACTACTATGAGGTTTACCCTTTGAGAGCAGCTGGCCTAGGGCCTAGGCTCAGTGTGAACTGAAGAGCGGTTCAGAGGCTCAGATAGGTGCCCTATCAGGTGACCCAAAACCAATCTGGCTCAGAAAGCAGAGTGGCTGTACATTTATTTTTAAGAGATAGGATGGAAAATGACATGAACAAGAGCCCTGCATAGTCTATCCTATTCACATTCTTCTAAGGTGAAAAATTGTAGCTAACAGCTCTTGCTATTGTTTTTCCCCCCCTTAAAAAAAAATATTTCACAGTGGGGCTGGGGTTGGGGGACAAAGACACATACTCCTAAGCCTTCTAAAAGCTCTACTTTGCTTTCTGGATCTTTTATTTCTTTTAAGTCCTAAGGGTTCTAAATTATGACTAAGTCTGATAAAGCTAAGTCTAACACTAAATAAAAGAGTGCTTCCAATTATGCACAACTATGTCCTCCTGGGGACCACTGAGTCAGCATATTAGCAAGGCCACAGTGACCAGTGAATATAGGTCCTAGCCTAAAAGTGAATCTTTTAAGACACCCTTATATACTACTTTCTAAGTATTCCATCTTCCATAACTACCATTTTCCTACTGAAGAAGATTGCAAACACAATTATTTGCATCTGTTTAAGATACCTGGATGAGAAGTGCTGGAAAAAAAAGTTAAAAAACCAATGATCTTGTCTGCATTTGAATAGGTTGTGGGGCTCACAGAGGCTCCACACTGTGTTCTGACTGCTCCAGGAAACCTAGCAATTCAAAGTCCAATAAAAGGTGGGGCCAGACTAGGAGAGGAAGTACTAGGTCCCTTAAGCACTAGGCACCACCAAATTTAGACAAAGGACACAACAGGCTCTTCTTACAGTGTTAGAACTTAATTCAGTAGTTCAATTTCCTATTTAATTTCTTCCATAAACCAAGAAAGGATAAAGGAAGTCACCAATTCCTCTCTCCCTCGTATTGTTCACAGCATTTGTTTAGGAACAGGTAAAGGGGGTGACATGGGAGGTGGAAGCAGCTTGGAACCTCTAATTTTAGCACCTTGAAAGAGACCTGATGTTGTAGCAGTCCTAGTGAGATTTACAGGCCTCCATTATTAGTAGTGGACACAACAACTGTAGTAGATGATTAAGCTGGCTTATACAGCTCAACAGCACAAGTCTGACTTCGCTGCTCTTCTACACTGGATTGCAGAGATGTCTGGTTTCTCATTCAGCTGACTTGCAAACACAAACGGGAAAGAAAACTCCCTGTTTGTGTGTGCCACACTTGGAAGACACTCTCTGGGTCCTCAGCAACATCATCAGGTTAGTAAGCAGTAACTTCCATCAAGAGAGCAGGTGTCCTAGGGTCCAATTCTCTCTACAGCCTGGATGTTCCTGCAATCCTCACACGTCTAGCAGACTAGTCTGTATTTCCTGAGGATGCTGGAACTGGAGGGAAATCTCCTCTGACCTCCTCCCCACACCTATACTCTTAAGATACTAGGGCAGATTAGTATTTTATGGAGAACTCCATAAAATTACCCCAAAGCATATTTAAAACTCACATTCTTTTACAAAGACTTGCAACTCCAGGGCATTTCCCTTGGTTTATTCTGTGTGGGATATTCAAAAATTTAAACATAGATCCTAACTTTGGTAATATCTCAGCTAAAATAAAATACAGAAGTCTAAACAGGGAGAATCCAGTGTAATTCACTTCTAAATCCATAGTAACGTAATTTAATACTGTAAAATTGTTTCCTATCACAGACACGGTAAATAATTCCCAAGAACTAGCCCTTGACAGCTACTTTAAATCAACATGACTGAGTCTACTATTATTCACTTAAACTGGATAAAAACTACACATACTGAAATAGTCCTAATTTCAAATTTAAATCTATAGGATATACTTTCCTTATTCAAACCTGTGCAATTTCTTTATTGAGACTAACATACATAACAAACCTGAGTAGTCACTTTCACAAAACGTGATTTGTGCTAGAAAGCGTTGTATGATGCCTTCTAGATCACAGGCCTGACAGGCCCATGAAGAAGCCACTTTATATTCTAGTAAGTACAACACTCTAGAGAGCCCAAATTCCTGGCTTAGAACTATCTGGTAGAGCTGGTGGTAAAAGCAGGAAGGGACATTCTTTCCCAAGTCCAGAACTTAGGCCACCAGAGTGAAAGCAGCCTCTACTCTGGCTCCAACACCCAGTAAATCACATGACAGCACCACCCAACCAACTGAGAACTGAATGCTGAGGAGGACACATAGTCTCTGAGGCTAGATGGAAAGGAGGCTACCAGGAAACAAGTCAGTGACACAGAAGCTGCAATCTCCTGGGTCTCTTTTCCCAGCTCCACAAGCATTCGGTGTGACCTGACTGTACAAAGAGAGAGACTACTCCAGTACAGTGTGCTGTACAGTGTGCTGGCCACAGTGGGAAGGCCTCACAGCTCCTCCGTGTGCCCACCTGACTGCTCCACTCTATATACAATACATTCACCACAAAAAAATTAAAAATATTAATAAAAAAAGGCAACATGAAACTTTTGTAAACTGGACCCAGCTCCAAAAACATTAATACTACATGTAGTCCCTTCTCCAAATATATACCTGAGAATTAGCTGCTCATGAAAGTTTAAAAGCACCACTCCAGCCTTACATGTACCCTCCACCCAAGTTAAAAGTGATTTTCCCTGAACAAGAGTCTTGGGATTTGGAGAAGCCAGCAAGAACTCCAGGTACACTTGCTCTTGTTAGTAAGTTTGTCAGCTGTGCAGGTGATCCCAGCTACAGGCCTGTCAGTCATCTAAAGAGCGTGCACCTAAGGCCTATGCAGTTCAGCTCTGAGGATGGCTTGATTCACAACGAAGAGGCGGAGCAGGATGACAGAACAGAGACATATAATAGTCATTCCTCCAAATTGTCCAGGCCTGCCTCTGTCTTCACATGCAGCCGTCCATTTCCTTGGGGCTTCTGTTTCTCCCTGGACTAGCTCTGAAAGTACAAAAATTTTAAATTACATCAATTGCCTAGCCTAACAATAGTTGAATATGTAACAAAACAAAACAAAACAACAACAAAAAAAACACCACACAGGCTTATGGGGGCAATAGTTTACCCCCAGAGGCTAATCTGGATCCAGGTTTCAGTGCTTAGTAGCTGGAAAGAAAGAAAAGAATACCCAGTGCAGTTATGTACGTCTGTAAACCTAGCACTTGGTGGAGCAAGAAGGCCAGAAGTTTAGAATCACATAGTTAATTTGAAGTGGCTTAGGCCACACTGAGATCTTGCCTCAAAAACAAAAAAAAACTACCAACCAAAACACATTGCCATAAACACACTCAAAGGCTATGTATAACTCAGGGATAACAGAACACTTAGCTGAGATTCATGGTTTCCTGAGTTGGATTCCCCAGGCTCATATAACTGTATGTACAAAACTATTCCCTCGAAAAATGAAGTCAGGTACAGGTTGAAGACTCTTTATTTTAGTACTGAGGCCCCAAATTTTTTCTTTTAAGATAAGGTCTCCTTTAGCCTAGAGAGATGGCTCAGCAGTTAAGAGCACTGACTGCTCTTCCAGAGGTCCTGAGTTCAATTCCCAGCAACCAGATGGTGGCTCAAAACCATCCGTAATGGAGATCCGATGCCCTCTTCTGAAGACAGTGTGCTCACAAATTAAAAAAAAAAAAAAAAAAAAAAAAAGCATTGGTTGCTCATCAGAGCACACGGGTTCAAGTTTCTCCAGTCCTGGTATTAAAGGCATGTACTACCATCCCCCAGTCAAATCCAACCCCCCTACCCCCAACAACCAGAGCCCTGGCTGTCCTTGAACTAAAAAGCACTGGGATGTGCCAGTAGGTGTGCACCAAAACACCTGTCTACAGAATCCAAAACTTTTAAAGCCTAGACATAACAATAAAAGTCACATTCTGCAATATTTTGGGCTCAGGTTTTCAGGTTGAGTATATCAACTAGTAAAGTCTATGCTAATAGCTCAACATCTAGAAACCTGAAACCTGAGTACCCTGGGGGCCCAAGCTACTCAACCTGCATTTATTGCTTACACCTGTCAGGTGTTAGGAACTACTCTCGTGTTCAGTAATTTTTACCTGATCCAGAGGAAGTGTTGGGGTCTTATGTGGTGGCAACTGTTCTGGTGATGCTGCAGGTGCCGGGGTCTTTGGGAATAAAGACTGTGACTGGATTGGATGCATTTGCAATCTAAAGCCAGAAGAAAGGCACAGTGTTCAATCACGAAGATACTGCGGTAAAGCTGGTAAATTTAGAAACATCAATACTGGGACAAAATGTCATAAATATATATGCCTCTTGGGGTGATGCAGCAAACACCTAAACCAAACATATCACAGCCTAAACAAAGGGGCCAATGAACTTTCCCCGAAAAACTAGCCTGAATTGAGAAACAAGTCAAAGATATTAAAGATACAAAAAATTTGCACACAGAGACTAAAAGTAGATACCACAACCAAACGAAAACAAATACCCTATCCTTGACTAGATTATGGAGCAGAATGAAACCAAAAGAAATAGAAAAAGCAAATCTCTGAAAGAGATTCCAAGGACAGAGGTAATTTAAGGACATGGCAATCTCCTGAAGCTCAATGACACATACTACGATACTTGTATGCTTATAATGTAAGCTCCAGGGTGTTACCGAAAGGAAAAAAAAAAGAAAAAGAAAAGAAAAAAGAACCCAAAACCAAACGCAGTGGCACAGGCCCTTGACCCTAGCACAGAGGCAGGTGGATCTCTGGGAGTTCAAGCCTGGTCTACAAAGTGATTTCCAGGACAGCCAGGGCTACACAGAAAAATCCTGCTTTGAAAAAAAAAAAAAAAATCAATCCAAACCAAAAAAAAAAGCAGCAAAACAAGCAGTTACTGAGAGACGTACAAACCCCCTCTGCAAGCCAAGAGTGGTAGCATACTTGGTAAGACCTTGCCTCCAAAACAAAAAAACTAGCTGGCTTCCCAGCATCTGGAAGGCAGAAGCAGGTAGATCTCTGTGAGTTCAGAGGCCATCACGAAATTAGAGAATTCCAGAATAGCCAGCAGGATTCTGTCTCAAAAACAAAATGAAACAAAACACCCTCAACACAAAACCAAACAAACCTGCGCCTACGCCCACAAAAAGCCCCCCAAAACAAATGCAAAAAGCAATAGGCAAACTATAAAATGTGAGAGCAAGGGTGGCCCAAATCTCTAAGTCCCAGGACTAGGGAGGCTGAGGAAACAAGACTTGAGTTCTACACCAGACTGTGCTACCCAGCAAACTCCTGTCTCAAACAGATTAAAACATTCAGAAACAAGTCAAAAGTAAGTAGACTGATTTTGGTGTTAAGAAGATGGGCAGGCAGTGCATGGGGCACACCAGCTTTTAAATGAAATGGCAGGGTAATTAGGTTTTATAATCTTTTTCTTTTTAGTTTTTCCAAGATAGGACTTCTCTGTGTAACAGAGCCCTGGTTGTCCTATATTCATTCTGTAGACCAGGCGGGCCTCTAACTCACAGAGACCCAACTGTCTCTGCCTCTCAAGCACTGGAATTAAAGGTGTACACCACCATGCCCGGCTAGATAGCTATATGTAGTTCAGTTGGACATTGTAAGGTGACATCCTTGAACGCTTTTCTCTTCTTATTTATGTGCTCTGGCTGACTTCAAACTCAGGGATCCGCCTGCCTGACTGGGTCAGAGCTGTGCACTTACCGTACTTGGCTGATCTTGAATTCTTGATCTTGTCTCAGACTCAGACAAGTGCTAAAATTATAGGTTTGTATCCCCAGCCAGGCTTATCTTTTATACTATTAACTTGGTTTTTCCCTGTGAACTACTACTTTGGATAGCAGGGAGATCATTTTACTATGCACACCCCCCACAGCTTTGGGTGGTGCTATGGATGGGATCACAGGCTAGTGCCCTGACATTCCAATACATCCCACCCCTAATAAGTTTCTTTTTTATTGTTGGTTTTTTCTTTTGATTTTTTAAGACAGCATTTCTCTGTATCACTGGTTGTCCTGTAACTGCCTCTATATAGACCAGGCTACTCTGGAGATCTGCCTGGCTACACCTTCGTAACTCCTGGCTCCTAATATGTTTCTTAAAGGCATCACCACTAACTTCCACAAGAACATTTAATCTATTCCACTTTTCTTTTGTTTTAAAATCCAGCAATAGGGGAAGAATGGGAGAAGCACAAGTTTAGCCATGCAGACGCAGGCTTCCTAAAGCAGACCCTCTTTTACTTTGGTCACTAGTAAGTCAACTGACTAGCCAGCAATGCTGACCAGCCTCTGCCCACAGCTTTCAAACTGTAGGTATTAAGTGTCCAATATCAATTCTTTCCTGACAGGCCAGACACAGTGGTACACTCCTATAGTCCTAGTACTTACGAAGCTAAAGCACAATGGCTCCTCAGAGTTTAAGGCCAGGCAGAAGTCGTACTGTGAGCCCTGGTTTCAAAACCAACCTCCACCAATCTTTTCTATTTTTTAAAAAATAGCAACAACAAAAATCTAATCATTTAAGTACTAATTCACGGAGGTACTTATCTACTACCAAAAACCAAAAACCAGTCCAGATGTTGATTCATTTTCATCGGGGAAGAAAATGGCAAAGACACAACTGTTATCTAGTCCCCGTCAAGTCTGTAATTCATGTGTTTCTTGGTATTAGACAATCAATTTAGGAATCTTCATTCCTAAAGCCATGGTTATTTTCTCAAGAGAAACCTAATGTAACCTTACCCTGGCGGTCTGTGCACTTCTTGAAATGAGCCTCTTATTCCGCTTCCAGTGCCAGTCTGTTCCATCATTGCAGCCTGAAAGTGACCTAAGCCCTCTTCCGGACAGCAGTAGAGGGGACCCTCTGGAGAGAGGCCATTGGGCTGGGTGGCCACTGGATGGGGGGGTGGATGGGCAGGCACAGGGGATGGGTAGGCCCTGGGCTGAAAATGACTGGCTGATCGCTGAGGAGTGTATGGAGACCCTGTCTGCAGCATCACACTGTGGGGTGGGAAAGCAGATGAACCAAAAGTCATTCCTGAACTTAGAGGTGGTGGTGGAGTTCCATAAAGATAGTCACTGGTTGACAGTGAGCTCTGCCGCTTGGTAGCTGCATTATGGTTGTCCAGATCTAGAAATTCTTTGGGACTCTCGGGCCTCTCCACAGATTCATCTATCTTTTCTTCTTCTGGACCAGAACTGTGTCCATCAGGTGGAACAACTTTAGCAGCCACTGCATCCATTTGAGTTGGAGAAGTTAAGGCAGCATTTAGTGTCTCACAACCTTGCAGACTAGACAAGGCATTCTTATCTGGGAAGAGAGGGTGTGAAGAGTGATTCCCAGGGGGTCCACTTGGGCTTCTCTGGGAAGGGAGAGATCTCTGCCAGTCAGAAAAGCCCTGTGGACATGTATAATAAGGAGTCCGCTGATATGGGTGGTAGGAAGGCTGAGAAGAAGGCTGGTAGGAATATCTCATTCCCTGCTGGGGGCGGTACCGGGGAAAGAGTCCAGAGTGGGGACCGTTAGCCTGGAAACCCCTGGGAGAAAAGGACTGAGGCTGTGATCCGGTGGACTTTCCTCCCATCACAGAGCCCAAGCCTTGCAAACTTGGATTCATAGGGTAATGTGTAGCTGAGTTAGCGTATTCTATGCCAGGCATGTATAAGGGAGAAAACTGGTTCACAGTGCCTGCCATCAAATTGGGATCTGTGCAAGGAGGTGTAGTTGCATTCGGTCCTGTACATGGAACAGTTTCTTGCAATGTTTTACCCCTGTGGCAGAGTGGCTTTTCTGAACTACTACCACCAAGGCCCTTCCCCTCTGATCTACAGGGAGATGCTTCACCAACAACCCCATTTTCAGGTAGATTCCCTCTCTCTGCCACTATGGAAACGTCTCTCAAACAGCCTTGCACAGCTGGGCTGTTGTAGCTACTGTCCAAAGGCCAGGTATTCTTGTTCTTTGATGCTTTATAAGTGTCTGCAGAGTCTGAAGCATCACTTTTGAGTTGGGTGTCCTCTGTTTCCCTTTCATGTGGTGAGCTTTGCCTGGTACAGGTGGCTTGCACGGGAGGTGCTTGGTGAGGTAGCTGTTTGAGATATACCCCCTCTGAAGAACAAATGCTTGCTGCTTTCTCTTCAAGTCCAGGCAAAGGCTCAGCTGGGGAGGAAGAACAAAACAGTAGTAACTTGGCCGTTGAAATGACATCAACAGATAGAGTAATGGAAAGAACATGGTAAGCAGCCAGATGAACTGGGTCAAGGCTGAGACAAACAAACCTCAGCTAGATACTGGGCCACAGTAATGATTTAGGGGTAAGTATATGCCTTTGTAGGCAGAACACTGCACACATTTAAGCTATCCCCCCACCCTCCCAAAAAAGATACATCTTGTCTCTCCTGTGTTGTGACAGTCCCATTAGAAAGAGGCCAAGAGATAACCCATAATTCCAGACTTCCGGGTAGAGGAATCTGAAATGAAGAGTAGAAGAATGTAGTCCTTTTCCAGGAAAAAAAAAAATTAAATTTAAGATCCAGTATCAATTTCATGTGAAATTTTCATCATCTTCCGTGAAAGTTCAAGTGAGTCCATTCCCCAGCAAACTATTAAACAAAATCAGATACTGGACATACGCATAAGAAAGAATGGATTCATTCTCTCTTTCAAGTTTATGGCCTACAAAACAAAACTACTGAAAAACTGTTTCAGCCATTAGAATTCACTGTTCTCCACAGTTATATAATAAGACAGATGAAAAAAACTAAGACACTGAAAGCACTTCATACTCATCACTTTTGAGATCATCATGTTCACAACGCACTGTGAGGAGCATCAATTAAGACAATGCTGAGGCTGGAGGGATGGTGCAGGGTAAAGAGGGCTTACTGCTTTTGCAAAGGACCCCAATTCAGTTCTAGTACCAAGATGGCAGCTCACAACAATCTGTAACTTCTGCTCCAAATAATCTGATGCCCCCTTTTGGCTTCTACAGGCTTCTCCATATACATGGAGCACATAGTAACGAAGGCTCATAACTTAACACATAAACTACACAAAGAACATGATGATGCTCGGTCTGTGTGTGCAAGCTCAAACTCAGCACTAATACTTTCTCGTTATCCAACAGCAGACCACTGTGCTCTCAATTTCTCAACTTTAAACAAAGATACTGGGTAGAGACTTAGTAACAACAGCCAGGGCTATCAATCTGCCAGATTTTCTGAATTACTCAGAAAAGTGTAACTTTTCTTTTTATCTCTTTTCTTTCTTTCTTCTTTTTCCCCAAGATAGGGTTTCTGTGTAATAGACCCAGGTATCCTAGAATTCACTTTGCAGAGATCCACCTACCCTCTGCCTCTCAAGTGCTGGAATTAAAGGTACACACCTGGAAAGCCACCAGCACTGCAGGCTCTTCTATCTCTTCTCTGAGTACACTTTTAATATTCAGGGCTTCCTTCCTCTCTAAAGCTTCCCTCCTCACATTATTACCACTTGTTGCCATGTATCTGATAATTTCTATACCAGTTTAAATGAAAATTTTCCTTCTCTCCTCCAATCTCTTCCTTTGGGCAGCAGCTAAGGTTTTAAAGCTAGGTTGGTCTGTGGTTTTTCTTTTAGACTATAAAATTATCCTTGAACTGAAAACAAAATACCACACAGAGACACACACATAGGATGGGCATGGTGATCCCAGCACGTGGGAGGTGCTCCCATGAGTTACCATGAATGAGCTTGATATACAGAAAGAGCCCAGACTAGGGCAATCAAGATGACTCTTCTGGTAAAGGCACTTACTTGCTGCCAAGCCTGAGAATCTGAATACAGTCCCTAAGATTAACACAGTAGGAGAAAACTAACTCTTTACAACATGTACTTTGACTCCTCACAAGGAATCTAATTAAAAACAAACAAAATAAATTCAAAGATATTGGTAGTAGCTTGTGCAAAGGCAGGTTCTAATTAAATGAGTTTACATTAAAAAAGCTTCAAAAAGAGGCTGGGCTGGGTGGGCACACCTCAGAAGTAGAGTAGAGGTATGGAGAACCTTGAGTCTGAAAGTAGTCTGTTCTTTATAAAGTTCTAGAACAGCCAGAGCCAGAGAGATCCTATCTTAAAAACAAATCAAACAAAAGAAATGACAACAAGCCGGGTGGTGGTGGTGGACACCTTTAATCCCAGCACTTGGGAGGCAGAGGCAGGCGGATTTCTGAGTTCGAGGCCAGCCTGGTCTACAGAGTGAGTTCCAGGCCAGCCAGGACTATACAGAGAAACCTTGTCTCGAAAAACCAAAAAAAAAAAAAAAGAAAGAAAAAAGAAAAAAGAAAAAAGAAAAAAGAAATGACAACAAAAACAAACCTAAAAGAGTGTCTCACATGTAAATGCCTTCTGGCTGTATGTTAATTCTTGTAAATTCATAAATTATGCTTTTGATGACTCTATACCCAAAAGGACTTCAGTTATCCCAAATGCGAATAGTTTATGGGGAGAGGCTTGACATCACTTTATGTTATCTTCATATTCAATATGAAAAGATTACAAAAGTCAGGGGCAAAAATAAAAAGGCCCTGTAAATTACCTCGGTCCTCCTCAGGCTCTTGTGTTTCACTGATCTCCTGTGTACTCCCAGGGTTGTCCAATGCAGGCTTTGGTGCTGACACACATACTGATGCTGAATGAGCTACCTGCGGAAAGGGACCAGGTAGCTGGGGAGGAGTGGGCTGGCGGGGGTGGTAAGGCACACCCGGGGGACAGACTCGGGAGGAGAGCTGCTGCATGGCAATCATTTCAGGGCTGTCCATCATGGATTCCCCTCCTTGTGCCCCGCGGAGGGCCTGAGAGGGTCCTCTGAACCGAGGACTTGGTGCTGAAGTTGGAGGTTGCTGCAAGCGATGTCCAGCAGACTTACAGGGTGGCTGCATATACCCCGAGGAAGGAACTCCATGAGGTAGAAAGCTTGACTGTTTAGTCCACTGGTTTGGTGGGATAGGTTGTCTAATCACTCGGCCATCTATCACATGACCAAGGGTATGAGGGTGGTGAGAGGGTCCTGGCTTCTCATCTGGCCCCAAACGTCCAGGGTTTGTAGTACCATGGTTCCCATTCCAAACAGCAGGGTGTACTCGATTCAGATACTTGTATGAATGATAAATGTGACCAGGAGGAATTTCTGAGCTCTCAGGAAAGTCTGTGGGCCGGGCTGGAGTCCCACCATGCCTAGAAGGAATAAATCCTGCCTGGAATGGAGCTGGTGGATACATGTTTCCATCTTGACTGGGACAATTCATCTGCCCAAGCTGCAAGGATGGGACATGTGACCCCATATTGGAAAGGTGTGTTAGCCCCCCACACATCTTCTCTTCTGGAGCACTGAGTCGGGGTCCCCGATGGTTACTAATTCCAACTGGAGCCTGACAACAGAAAAGGTAAGAAGAGAAGAATGTGAATTCACAGAACAAAACAAACCTTGAAAGATGCTGTCTCTTAATTATTGCTGCAGAACCTTCCCGGCTGTCTCCTTGGAGACTGCTTACCTGTATAGCAAAGGGTGGGTGCTGCAAGGGTTCTCCCAGGGGGGCCTCTGGGATTCGAGAGGAGCCATGTAAGTTGGTGGGATCTGATCCTTGAAGAGAGCCGAATGTTCCTGATGCTGCTGGCCTCTGAAGGCAGTGAGTAAAGCAGAAAGGGGTGAGGGAAGAATCATCAAGGACAACAAGGGATTCCCTAAGGATTGCTATTAATGTGCCCCATGGCCAGGAACAGCCTCCAGTCTCAAAGCAGTTTCTTTCTCCAGGAAAAAAAGACTAGTTCTCTTATCATTTCAAAAAACAAAACAATCACCTCCCTCACCACAATGAGAGCAATTTTAGGCATTCAGGATCCAAGTACACCCTATAATTATTTATTTATATATGTTTGAGATAGGGTCTCATGAAGTCGGGCTGGCCTCAAACTTGCTGTATAGCTGAGGTTAATCCTGAACTACCTCTGGCTTGTCTGTCCATCTGTCCGTCTGTCCGTCCATCTATCCATCCATCCATCCATCTATCCATCCATCCATCCATCCATCCAAGTCCTTGGATTAAAGGCATGCATCACCATCTGGCCTGTCTCCAACTCTTAAGTGTGCACCGACATCCACTATTATGCTGAGCTGGGGATCAAATGAATGTTTTCATATATGCTAGTTAAGGATTCTACCGTCTGAGCTACATACCCAGCTCTTTATAATGAAATTTCAACATTTTAAACATAATATGTAGCTTATATACTATGCTGCTGTGCTTTATTTCTTCTGCAATTCTTCTTGAGATGGAGTTCTATGTGGCCCAAGGCTGGTCTCAAACTTGCTGGACTCAAATGAACTTCAAAAATGCAGCCTTCCAAAGTAGCCAGGAATACTGATACGAACCCTTATCATCAAGTCTTTCTAATTTCAAGTTTTGCCCACGTTGGGAATACATGGTTCAAAGGACTGAGAGAAAAGAAGGGTCTAAATGAAGAGAGAATGGCCATGGGGCTAGGGTATAGATAGAAAAACCATCCCATTTGTGAGGTAAAAACAAGAGGACCAGAAGTTCAAGGCCAGCTAAAACCTCTACTACAAAGCAAGTCTGAAGTTATCTTGTGCTAGATGAGACCCTGTCTCTAAAACAAAAAACAAAATAAACTATCTATGGCAGTGGCTTTCTTTTCTTTGTTTAATTAAGTACATTGTAGCTGTCTTCAGACACACCAGAAGAGGGCAAGAGATCCCATTACAGATGGTTGTGAGCTACCATATGGTTGCTGGGAATTGAAGTCAGGGCCTCTGGGAAAGCAGTTAGTGCTCTTAACAGCTGAGCCACCACTCCAGCCCAAGAGACATAACTTTTTAAAACTAAGAGTTTTAAATTTTAAAACCAAAACCAAAATAAACCATCTATGGAAGTGGTTCTCAACCTCTAAGGGGTCACCATCTGCCTAATCAGAAATTTACATTATCATTCATAACAGCAGAATTTATACAGTTATGAAATAGCAATGAAAATAATTTTGTGTTTGGGGGCCACCACAACATGAGAATTTATATTAAAGGGTTGCAGCATTAGGAAGGTTGAGAATCACTGCTCTATGATTAGCTGAAGACTGTACAAGTTACTAGCCCTTAGATTCCTACAAATGCAGTGGCTTGGAGACATTACCATAGAAGGTGAGTTTTTTCTTACCATCTGGTTTAAAGGGGGTGCCTGGCTAGGCACCCTACCACAGTGCAGGGGGCGGGAAAAGCCTTGGCCATTTGATGTGCCCACCTCTGGAGGAAGCTGTATGGAGCTGCTACTCTGATCATCCCCTGAGGAGGCAGCTCGACGTGCAGAGGGCAAACACTTTCCTCCATTCTCCACTGGTGGCTGTTTCCTGCTGGACCCTTCAGTGTCTTTGGAGCGCGTCCAAACATGGCTTCCACTACTTCGACTAGCCCGACTCTTCCTTTTTTCCCGTTTTTCATCCTCTCTGATCCAAAATTCTTCATCTGTGTCTCCATCTTCACCAGGAAAATGTTTTGTCATGGCCCGATGGAAACACCGCTCTAAATTGTCAGACATTTTGGTATACTCTAGAAGGAAGACAAGAAGATTGACCATCAGAGTACATATTTTACTAGAAACAAAAGACAATTATTGAAAATAATAAGGAAAACTACTGGGCTACACTCTTGAGTTTAATTTGCTTCTAGAAAACATTACGCTGCAAAGCTATAGATACAATATTAAGATCTGGTTTCTCTAAGTATTCTGCTCAAGGCTGTATGACTGACAGATTAGCTATAGTATGTTACCTCAAATTAGTGAAATTATAATTCTTTAGGCTATTACTGAAATTAGTATGTACTATAATTGAATTTGCTTTATTTGATAAACTGTAGCATTTTTGTGTTGATTTGTGATTTAAGAGAGAAGAAGCCTGGGGGATGTTGCTCAGGGGCAATGCTTGCTGAGCATTCAGGAAGCACTAGATTCTATCTCCTATGTTCAAGGTGGGCTCAGACTTGTCTGTGTTAAAGAGGCCCAGTACAACACAGACCAAACCTCTCTGCCAGACTCTGTGCACAAGGCTGAATGAGAACTCCTAGGGCACTGTTTAAGAAACTGGAACCACAATCCCATGATTGTTAGTATACATTCTGTCTGTAGTTCTAAATTAGGAAACCAGCATGGTGGCACACCTGAGATTCCAACACTTGGCAAGACAAATGTTCAAGTTAGGGCTGGAGGTTCAGAGGTTAAGATAATTGTTGCTCTTACAAAGGACCTGGGCTTAGTTCCCAGCACCCACATGGTGGCTGACAATCATTCATAACTCCAGATCTAGAGGACCCAATAGCCTGTTCTGACCTGAGTGGGTACCAAGCAAAATAAAACACTCATACATTTTTTTTTTTTTAAATCCAAGGTAAACTTGAAATTCCATCTCAAAACAGAAAAGTCTGGAGGACAAGATACACAGCCACAGAGGGCATTTCATCCCCACTCCAACAGTACAGAAGACACGCATCCAGCAAAAGGGCCCTCCGCCACCTACCGCTACTGTCCCCATTGTATTTTCGGCAATTTCTGAACATGGTCTTCATGTCATTTACAAATTCCTCCTTGGTACAATATAAACCTCCATTTAATTTCTTCTCCATGCTTGAAATATCCATGGGGATCTAAAATAGAACATGCAACACTGTAAGTGGCATAGTGGCTTTAATCCCACTCAGGATGACACAAGTTTGAAGGTAGCCTGTGCTACAGTGACTTCCAGGCTAGTCATCATAACAGAGTGAAGCCTTGTCTCAAAACAAGATAAAACCAATGAACTGTATGCCGCCTCCAAAGCACTTTCTATAAAGAAAAGCAGTGGTGACTTTCCAACCCTAAGTTTTCGCTGGCCACCAAGATGTAAACAAACTCCTACCACCACAGAGCTGCCTGTCACCATCGGTACTCCGTCACTATGATGGAAAATGACTAATAATAATAATCCAAGCAAGATACAGATGCTTAAGTACAATTTAAAAGATACCTTAATAATCTGGTAATAGTTGGGGGCATAAGATTCATCCACAGGTTCCAAGAAGGGCCAGGAATCCTTGTGAGCCTTCACCACATCTAGAACTGAAAGCCAAAAAGGAGAATATAACTGACACACTTCCTAGGAAAAGATGTTCATTAGGAAAACCACAGCTGAGAATGGTAACTAACCTTTATACATGGCTGTGAAATCGTCATCCAATTCAAAACTGTGAACCACAAAACACAACATTAATTTAACACAACATTAATTAATTAACATTAACATTAATTTGACCACCATTTTTCCTTAGCTTTCTTGGTTCAAATACAGATTGAGCAGTAAGTCTGAACATTGCTCCCAACTCACTGGAAACAATATAAAGATGGTCAATGGTAACTGTATAAAAGGAGGACTATCACATTCCCTACAACAAAGTCATCTAAAATGAAAGACTGGTTTAAATGATCCAGGACTTTATTATGACTTTGAAACTATTAATATGTTATAAAAATATTAACTATATTTTTATTTTTAGGAAGATAAAGTATTGTTATATAGTCTAGGCTGACTCATATTTCAGATTCTGCCTCAGTCTCTATAGAGCTGGGTTACTATCATGCCTGGCTGGAAGTAACTGGGTTTGTTGGTTTTTTGTTGTTGTTGTTGTTTTGAAACAAGTCCTTGTTGTCCTAGAATACAATATCTAGACCAGGCTGGCCTGGAACTCACAGAGCTCCACCTGTCTTTGTTTACTCGGTGGTGAGATTAAAGGTGTGCACTTTCCCTTTTGAACCTTGCCTTCCCTGCCATGGTTCTATTCTGGCATACCTTCATGCTCTGCTGTTATTGTGTGCAACAGCCAAGGTAACTACTATAAAATGTAAAATACTTAGTAAACATGGTGGTGCACGTTTGTAATCCCAGCAGTAAGTAAGCTGAGGGAGCAAGATGGCAAGCTCTAGTCTTAAAACACAGGTTTGAGCTGCAGCTATGTGCTAGAGCACTGCCACGCATGCATGGCACGCCAGTATTGGGGGGTTCAACACCTAGCACTGCCACACACGCAGATGTAAAATGTTCTATATGCTTTCAAGAAACACTTTCCCATTAATAATAAATTCTGATGTCATTGAAATGTTGAGATAATAAGAGCTATCTTTTCCTGTGCCAGCAGGATTCTAATAGTGGAAAGGGTATGTATGTACAGGTCTGATTTTTAAGAACTACCACTAGTATTTGCTATGCTTTCTTAACATTAAAATGTCAAAGCCACTGCCTCCAAAACATGCTTTTCTGTTACAAGGATTAAATGAGAGATGTAATTTGTTTTAAAGATTTATTTATTTATATGTTTAACATGTAAGTACATTGTTGCTGTCTTCAGATACACCACAAGAGGGCAATCGGATCCCATTACAGATGGTTGTAAGCCACCATGTGGTTGCTGGGAATTGAACTCAGGACCTCTGGAAGAGCAGTCAGTGTTCTTAACCACTGAGCCACCACTCCAGCCCAAGAGACATAACTTTTTAAAACTAAGAATCTTATTTTTAACCATGTGTACGTGTCAGATCCCCCTGGAGCTAAAAGACATTTGTGAGTTGCCACATGAGTACTGGGAATCAAACTCCAGTGACTCTGAAAGACTAGAAAGTGTTAACTATTGGGCCTTTTATTTTTTCAAGAAAGGGTTTCTCTGTGTAGTTCTGGCTGTCCTGAAACAGCTCTATAGACCAGAGCTGACCTTAAACTTACAGATACCTGCCTGACCACTGCCTAGCTTGAGATGCTTTTTTACAAATTATGCTTATTTAGTGTGTGTGTACTCCTTAGCCATTATGGTCCATGTATCAGTCCTCTCCCTATATCATGTAGGTTCCAGGACACTACTCAGGTCATCATGATCGGCAGCAAGTGCTTGCAGACAGAAGTGCTTAGAATGGCCAGCTGCTATTGTTGCTATTACTCACAGGTCCTTGGTCTTCTTTCCTTCCCTCATAGGAGAATTCAAGTCCAAATGGGAAAGTTCTGGAGGTAGTTCCTTGCCTTGAGCCAATAGCCATGCTCGTTCTTCCCTGAGCTTTCTCCTCTTAGCTCGATCTATAATCAACACACAAACAGACCAAGTGAGCATCTGTACTTGCTAATCCCTGGGACTGCTGTGAGCACACCATCAGTCATACACCAAGCAACTTCATTCATTTTATTCAAGTACCATATCAGACAGAATTTGTGATAATCCCAGTAAAATGTCATTTTAGCCATAAAACTTTTTTCCATTTGGGAGGAGGGGTGACAGGCTTCATATACCCCAGGTAAGCCTCAACCTCACTATGTACTTGAACTCTTGATTTTCCTGTCTGAGTCTTCAAAAGAGGAATAGCCTTTTTCATTATTATAAATCTAAAACAGTGCTTAATATAGAATGGGTACATAAAAACAATATCAATTTGGGGGCTGGAAAGATGGCTCAGTAGTTAAGAGCATTGCCTGCTGTTCTAGACAACCTGGGTTTGATTCCCAGTACCTGTCTGGCTTACCACTAAATGTAACTCCACTTACAGGGGACTAGATATCCTTATATAGACATGCATACAGGCAAAACACCACTGCACATTTTTTTTCTTTTTTTTTCTTTTTTTTGGTTTTTCGAGACAGGGTTTCTCTGTGTAGCCCTGGCTGTCCTGGAACTCACTCTGTAGACCAGGCTGGCCTCAAACTCAGAAATCCGCCTGCCTCTGCCTCCCAATTTTTTTTTTTTTTTTTTTTTGGTTTTTCGAGACAGGGTTTCTCTGAGTAGCCCTGGCTGTCCTGGAACTCACTCTGTAGACCAGGCTAGCCTCGAACTCTCGAACTCAGAAATCCGCCTGCCTCTGCCTCCCAAGTGCTGGGATTAAAGGCGTGCGCCACCACCGCCCAGCCCCAATTTTTTTTTTTTAAAGTCACTTCAAAAACTGCTTCAGCTGGGTGTGTGGTCACATGTATACGCAGAGTGCTTGAGAGGCTGAGGCAGGAAGATTGCTGCAAATCCTAAATCAACCTGGGCTGCATAACGAGACCATGTCAGATACAGATGTAGACATATACACATGTGTGTGTGTGTTTTGTAATTTAAGTGTTGTTAATCTCACCCCTCCCCACACACACACACACAAAGTCTTAGGGAGAGGAAAAGAGAAAGGGAAAAGGGTTTGGGAGGGCACACCGAGAGAAAACATCAAAACATGTTCAGCTGGTAAATGCTACCCCTATCCAAGAAAGCAACTAAGGTTGTTATTGTTTGCTTTGTAATAAGCACTTGAAAAACAGAGGCAGGCAGATCTCTGTGAGTATAAGGCCAGTTTGGTCTACACTGTGGTACCCATGTCAGCTATGGCTACAGGGGGACCCCATCTCAAACAAACAAACAAACAAACAAACAAAAAAATCTTACTATAGCAAGACTGCAGTTTGAGTCTAAAAAAATTACTTGGTATTAATAAGATCAATGGCAACATTCTGATATTCCATATGAAAGAAAGATCTGGGCTAGGGATATAATTCAGTTTACAGACTGTTTGCATAGCATGTAGGAAGTCCTGGGCATGAAGCACCACATAATCTGTAATTTTAGCACTTGAGAAGTAGAGACAGGAAGTTTTGTGAAGTCAGTTCAATGTCAGCCTGAGGTACATACAGGATAACCCTGTCCAAAAAAACAACCACCAAACCAACCAACCAACCAACCAACCAAAACCAAACATTTCTTAAGCGTATACCTTTGCACTTATGAAAGTAGCTGCCAATGTCTTAATGTCTTTCCTTTCTTTAATTCTATATAAAATGTATAGGACACAACAGAAATCCAAATAAAAAGCAGGGTCCCGAAAATGACAAATACAACTGGCTCTGGACAGAATGTAAAGAAGGGAAGACTGAATGAATTCAGATGAGTAAACATGACAGAATACAATTTACAAAACATTTAAACAGAAATGGCAAGAACAGCTGAGATGAAGGATGATGGCCTTGTGTTCTCACCCTTGAACCATGACATACCTTCCACTGCCTTGACCTTTTCTTCCAGTTCCCGCTTTCTCTCCTCCTTTAACATCTGCTCTTGCTCCTTCTTCTGCACTGCAAGAAGGAGCTGTCGTTCCTCCTCTTCCTCCTTGCGTTTCTGTTTTTCTATCTTGGTGAGCATGGGAGTTTCCTTGTAAGGAGCAAAAAGTGCTTGAAGGTTAACAGACAGCAATTGCAAGGCTTCTTCACTGAGTTGAGAGCTGGTTTATAGATTACAACATATACTAGTAGACAGAGGATTTATACCTCATATACTGGCTGATTTTATTATCTGTGAAATGTGTACATCAATGTACAAAAACACACACATATGAAAACATAATGGGAAATACATACCACACAGAACCCAGGATTATCAGTTTGAGGAGAGCCCAGGCTACCAAAAGACTCTTTCTCAAAAAAACAAAACAAAACAAAACAAAACAAAACAAAACAAAACAAGATATACATAGTGGTACATGTCTTTAATCCTAGTACTTGGGAGATAGAGTTCAAGGGCAGCCAGGGCTATACAATGATGAGACCACATCTCAAACCAAAATGGGATGGAGAGATGGTTCAGTGGTTAAAAGCACCTACTTTTGATGGAGTCCAAGTCCTCAATCTAATGATATATCTCAGTTTTGTCCTCCCCACAACCTATAACCCAGCAAGAGGGTTCTACTATTTACTGGTTGTCCAGGAATTTGCTCTTCAGATGAGGCTGACTTGAATTCAAGAGCTCCACCTGCCTCTGCCCCCTGAGTGCTGGGAATAAAGGCGTGTGCCACCCTGTCTAGAGTATACGCATGTGTGTGTCAGAGATGCCATCTACTTTCTTTGCGTTAGGGTTTCTCATGTTTTGGAGCTCGCCAGCCAGCTAGACATGCTATTCAGGGAGCCCCAGAAATAATCCTATTCCCACTTGCCCAGTGCTGGAATTATGGTGCATGCCACCATGCTCATGTCAGGGATTAAAGAGAAATCCTTGTGTTTATGGAGTTAACACTTTACTGACTGAGCAATCTTCTCAGCCTATGTACCTCAGTTTATGTCTCTAGACCAGGCAGACCTCAAACTTACTATGCATTTGAAGATGACCTTGAACTTGATTCTCCTGTAACCACCTCCCAAATGCTAGGATTATAAGCATGTGCTACTGTGCCTGGTTTTAGGCAGTGGTGGGGATAGAATCCTTCTTGTATCCTGGTCAAGCATGTGTGAAGTTCAAGGCCATCCTGAAATACATAGTGAGAGTGTGTGGTCATGACAAATGACAGCAACAGAAGAATAGCCTAAGAATCAACAGAAGAACTAACTGGGAACGTAACGCTTGGTTTTGGACATAAGAACCTTCTATACTCAATTCTTTCACGTTTTAGACTGTGGAAACTACAAGTGGGCTTTGTCCAGAGGGCAAAAATGAATGTAGGTTGCTGGTCAGAGAAGTTAAAATTTAACACTTGAATTGCTTTGATTCAATTTTTTTTATTAATGTCCTCTTTTGTGGTTTCAGTTAAAAGATTTACATTTACTTTTTCTTATGTGCGTTATGTCTATGTGAGTGAATGCATGTGCACAGGGTGCCCTCAGAACAGAGTGCTGGATGTTTCAAAGCTAGTATTCCTCACATGCGTGCTGGAAACTCAACTGAGACCTCATGGCAGAGCAGGAAGCACTCTACTATGCCATATCTTGAGCTCCCTGGAAAAAAAAATTTAGATTCACAATTGATTCAGAATTTGGATATGATTTTGACCAGGGAGTGAATGGATTTTTTTCAAAGGCTGTCTTATTAATTTTGTTTGGGATCAAGTCTCACAGTCTAGGCTTGCCCAGAACTTCTGCTACCACTTCCCAAGTGTTAGGTTAAGAGGCCTGTCACCACACTTGGCTTGCCGTCAATTATTTATCAACTTATTTATTATGTGTGTGAGGGCACAACTGCACCGAAGTGTGGATGTGGGATTTGAGAAGTTGATTCTCTCCTACCATATGGGTCCCAGCAACTGAAATCAGGTCACTAGCTTGGTGGCAAGTGCCTTTACTCAATAGACCATCTTGTTAGTTCACTGTCATTTTATAACTTAAATTCTTTTAGCTTTACTTCAAGGCCAGTTGGGCCACACAAGATCTGATCTCATAAAGGTCAAACCAAAATAACGGTGTGTACTTTCTCTTCCTGAGAAAAGAGCCCACAGGTGTTTCACATAACATTGTATTGATAAAGAGCCTCAGCAGAAGAAACAAAGTGCTCTAGGCTTTCAAAACAACAATTTGCCTCCTGATAACTGGCTGGGGCAAGTCTTTCAATACTGAATTTCTGGTCACTGCCCATGGGTGTGCTTGTTAGTTTTTTGTTAACTTGACATAAGCTAATCATTTGGGAAGTGGGATGCAACCCTGTATCTATTACACTGCCTGTGGGCAAGTCCACAGGGCCATTTTACTGATGGGGACCAGCTCTCTGTGGGCAGTACCACTGCTGGGGTGGTGGTCCTGCATTGTATAAGAAAACAAGTTGAGTGAGCCACAAGGAAAAAGTAAGTCAGTAAAGAACACTCTTCCATGGCCTCTACTTTCAGTTCCTGCCCTGACTTTCCTTATGATGGGCTACAGGCTGTAAGATTAATGTCCTTGCTTCTCCAATGCTTTTGGTCATGGTGTTTATCTCAGCAATAGAAAGCAAACTTCTAACAGCCTTTACTGCATTCTACCAGTAACCCCTACATTGCTAGCCTCCTTCCTGGGTTCTTATTTTAACTTCCTAGTAACATCACACCACTGATTGCTTTGATTGCTTCAAAGCAATGCTATGTGTAAGACATTAAGTGACTAGCATGGAAAGAATGGAAATTTAAACTAAGCCTAGTGGCACAGGCCTGTAATTACAGTACTCAGGAGGTAGAGGCAAGATTTTAAGGTCATCCTGATATACGCAAGTTACTGTCAGTGAGTAATGATGCTTGCCACTAAGCCTGACAATCTGAGGTCAACCTAGGGAGCCCATATGGTAGGAGAAAATGGACTCCCTCAAGTTGTCCTCTGATCTCCCAATGATGCTGTAGCACATGAACAACCCACCACTAGAACTCAATAATAAATGTTTAAAAAGAGCATTTTATTTTTTAAAAAATAAATATTAAGTCACAAAAGATTAGATCTACCAGACAAATACAGGAACTCCTAATTCTTTTTCTACTTACCAAACGATAGGGTTACAAGCCCACTCATTATGCCTGGTACATGGCATTATCTTTAAAATATATTAATGTAAATAAACACCAAGTATTGTAGTGCATATCTTTAATCCCAGCACTTGGGAAACAGAGGCAGAAAGACCTATGTAAATCTGAGGCCAGTCTGGTCTAGGCCAGCCCAACTAGAGTGAGACTTTGTTGCCAACAAGGGGGGCGGGGAGAATACATTAATATATATGCTATGCATAATGGATATTAACAACTGAGTAATCTGGATTGAAATCATCTTTAAGCCGGGCAGTGGTGGTGCACGCCTTTAATCCCAGCACTTGGGAGGCAGAGGCAGGCGGATTTCTGAGTTTGAGGCCAGCCTGGTCTACAGAGTGAGTTCCAGGACAGCCAGGGCTATACAGAGAAACCCTGTCTCAAAAAACAAAACAAAACAACAACAACAAATCATCTTTAAACCCAAACTTGAAAGCTCTCCAAATCTTTTTGCCAATTGAGGTTAAGAACCCACACCTGACTTTGCTTTCATGCCTTCACCTGTGGTTCTGTCTTATGGTTATGACCCCTCCCTCTAGTATTTTTGAGAGTCTCCCCATGTGATCCTGACTGGCCTGGAACTCAAGATGTAGACCATGATGCCTCCCACTTTCAGTGAGCATCCCACTTCTGCCCTGATGTTAAGGTTACAGGCAGAACCTGGGAAGAATTCGAACTCCATTTTTCATTCCCTCTGTTCTCAGATCACTTCATCTGTAATTACTTCCATACTTAGAACTGCCATGGTGGACATATCCAACTACATCACAGACATGACACCTGAACAACATACGGGGTGTGTGGGGGTGAGGGGGTGGGAGGAGAGATCCACGTTGTACACCAAAATTCCTGACTGAAAATTCCTGTGCTTATTTCAGAGTGCTTCCATTTAAAGGAAGGTGAAGCACATGGTAACCATGACCAAAGGATTTACTTTTTAACAACATGACCAAAGGATTTACTTTTTAACAACATGACCAAAGGATTTACTTTTTAACAACATGACCAAAGGATTTACTTTTTTTTCCCCTCCCTGTCAGGACTCATTTCCTTTGTGATTTATTCATTTGTTTTCCTTTTCCATAAGGGTTTGGCTACCTCCATGTATATATATGCATCTGATGCTTATGAATGCCAGAAAAGGGGATCAGATCAGATACCTCAGAACTGGAGCTGACACGTGGATGTTGGGAACCAATGTTGGGAACCAAAGTCAGGCCCTTTAAAACCCAGGACCTCTGGAAGAGCAGTCAGTGCTCTGAACAAGCTCTGAACTGCTAAACAATCTCTCTAGTTCTCAGGACTTTCTTCTTGAAGACAGAGGTAGTGCCTTAACTACTAATTTGTAATGTCATTATTATGACATGGCTGGCAAGATGTTTAACAGCAAGTTAAACTCACAGACTGAGGAGAAAAGTGACTCATATGGTAGGTTATCCCTCTCATCTCCATGTGTATCCTGGCAAGCACCTACTCTATTTACTATGAATGAATGAATCAATCAATCAATCAAAGATAAAAGAAAAAAAGAGCTGGTACAAAAACAACAAAATGTGAACCACTGTGTATATGTGTGAATCTCATATTGTCTTTCCTACAGAAAATTTTATTTATTTAAGACAGGGTCTCACTATGGCTGGCCTAGAACTCTCTTATGTAGCCTAAGTTGGCTTTAATTCATAGAAATCTGCTTCCCAAGAGCTGGGATTGAAAGATGTGTGTCAACATGCCCAGCCAGAGATTTTATTTTGACTAATGTGTCTCTCTGTAAGTAAGCATATATGCAAGTGGATGACTGTGCAGGCCAGAAAAGGGCATCCAATTCTCTATAGCTGGAGAGAGGTGGTTGTGAGTCCTCCAGTGTGGGTCCTGGGAACCAAACTCTGGTTCCAGGAAGAGCAGCAAGTGCTTGGCTACACTGCCTCTCCAGCCTTTCTGTCTTAGATTATAATATTTTCCCTTGTAAAAGAGGTCAGCTAGGTGTGGTAGCACAGGAGGCTGAGGCAAGAAAATCATTCAAAGCTGAAACCCACTATGGGCTATATTTTGAGTTCCAGACCAACCAAAGCTTCCTAATGAGACTCTGTCTCATAAAAACAAAAGTTTCTGCTACAAATACTATAGTGATCAGTCTTTAAATGCCTTACAAGTAAAAAAATAAAAAGACCTATTAGAATGATGAAGAAATTTTAATAAGATGCTAACAAGGAGCCATTGTGAAATCCTCCAAGAGATTATTAGAAAACTCTAGTTGAAGCAGTGCCCAAGTTCTGTATCTGGACCATGTGTTCAGATTGACTCTTGCCACCAGGAGCACACTTGAGACCATACCACCCTAAGCTAGACACCAAGTAGGGTCTACTAACGAGACAGAGACGCCTACCTCAGCAGCCTTTGTCTCCAGTTTATCAATGTCTGCACTAATATTCCTCCAGAAGTCACAATGAAAAGACTCAAATTTAATTAAAAATTAATTAAAAGGCGATTAACATTGAACTACTAGGTAGTTGATGCCTTCACACATAAAAGGCATCAAAAGACAAAAAGATTTTCTGCTCTGGAGACCAAATAAGCCAGTTGAGTTTCTCTAGGATAGGAGGTATTAATTACAAAACAAACTCGAAAATGCCTGTATCAGGCAGTTCCGTTTACTTCGAATTAAACAACAGAATTTGAAATCAACCCCTCTAAAAAGGAAAAGAAAAACTTTTTTTTTTTTTTTTTTTTTTTGCAATCATGCAGAGGCTTTACTGGTATTAAGATTGCCAGGCAATCTGAGGTGTGAATTAGGGCATGAAGGACTCCTAAAGCAGTAAGCAGAAAGCTGTTTTCAAGGTAACAAACTGAACCAGTTAGAGCAGCTGGAAACTACTCAGAACCAAAGTGGGTACCAGCAACGAAGGCCACTCCAAAGCAAAGAATATCAGGGAGGAGGTAGCAAGCCAGTCATTGCAGAACTGTTAACTAGAAAATATGTAAGGTTGGAACCTTACATATTAAGGTCTTAATGGAGGCATGTAGTGGTCTGCACCTCCAAGCACTCAGGTGTCTAACGCAAAGCTGTGAGTTTGAACAAGCCTGGCATACATAAGCAATACATTGTTTTTAAAAAACCAAAACAGAGTAGTAAAAACTCAAGAATGCCTCTCCATTACTTATGCAAGGGGGAGAGAGGGTTGAGAAAATTTCATTCCAGGTTGACCTTGAATTTATGATCCTCCTGAACTTCCTTTCTGCAGCAGTGGGACTATATTCTACTATATTATCCCTAATAAATTCTTACAAAGAGCACAAGGTTTCATGTTGGCACTTTCATTAAGTGCAAAATAAATAAATAAATAAATAAATCTCAAGGCAAAAGAGAATGTCCCAAATTCACAAAGGAACACATGGTATGGTGACTATGGTGACAGAGTAAAGCAACTGTAACCTGATGTAATAAAGCTTTGTGTGACCACTCACCAGACTATAAATGCAATGGAGCATAGTGTCAGAAGGAGATAAACGGCTGGGAAGGGAGAGAATACGATAGCTAGCCAGGCTTTTCGAAGACAAAGTAGGCTAGCAACATGCCCTAAAAGCCTCTGGCCACCTCTCTGAGCAGGTAGCCCTTGACTTCACTCTCCACCTTCCTTTGTCATGCATGCATGGTCACCAGCCAGCTCAGTGAATAAAAAAATATACTTGTCATTTCCCAAAGCAGGACACTAGCTCAAACCATGAGTACCTAACATGTGCCACAGTAAAAACCTCAAGCAAACCTGGCTCTTAGGTGCTCTTTGAAAGAACCTTTAGGAGTATTTATCCAGTTGTTGCCCCAACGTTTGTGACACCTAATACTGCACCCCAGATTCCCATCTGACAGAGTCTCCCTGTGACAGAACACAAACTCCCTCCTACTCTAGGAAACAGTGATTAACTAGATTCCTGGACAAGACCTTCCCTCTTCATCAGCTGATCTTGCCTGAGCCAGGTGCACATAACCACCTAATTTTTCTTTCCTACTGAGGACAATAGGAGAACCAGGTCTCTCTATTTTCCCACCATAAATCACAACATAGCTCATCATGCCGTCCACATATACACACTGTTCCACGTTTTCCCTTAGAGCTTTTGTTTACACGCCTCCTGTTGTAAGGAAGGCCTCAGGCTTTAATTCCACCCTACATACTAAGGCCAAACATCTCTGGCTGCCTAAACCCAGCTTCTTTGCCTGGCTTCAATTTCTCCCCTCTTTGTAGTCACAAACTTTTTGTATCTACTACAGATCTTATCACTCACCTCTACCTGTCTGTCACCCAAGAACACTGTAAGATAAAAAGTAATGTGCCCTAGTCTCCCATTCTCTAAATTTTTTTCTCGAAAGAGAAAAGACTACATATAATAGTCAACAAATATTTGAAATACAGAATTTTTTTTAAGGGCAAGGGATAATAAATATGAATAAAAGCACGTGAAATGAAATGGAACTATCCTTTTCAAATACACCTTTTTACTCTCAAGCACACTCACCTCTAGTTTGATGGATTTGATGGACAGGTGGTCAGACATAAACCTATGTTGCAACTCTGGCTTTGTGCGCTGTGGACGTTTTCCCTAAGTTAGAAGTGAGGAAAAGAAAGGAAAAGATAGATTAGGGTGTTCTAAGCTACCGCTGCTGCAACTACAACCAGCAGAATGGCCACTGAGGCACACCGGTAACTAATTTATCTAGTAGGGGGGGCCAAAGCTGTCTATCCTTTAGGATGATAAGGGAAAACAACTATTCAGCTGGGTACGGTACGTAGCAAGTAACAACTCAAAAGCCACTGACAACCAAGCATTTCCTATAAAAATCCTCATCACTAGCAAAAGATGTCCCAACTTTAGGCAAAATCTTTATTTGACTGGATGTGAGAGGATAAGGGAAGAGGGTTCTGAGTCTCAACCCAGCCTAGGTACATTGCAAGGCATTGTCTCAAAACACCCATAGACAACAAGACAAAGCAAACATTGTATTTTATCACATTCACCTGAGGGAATGGTTCTGAACCAGGCATCAGGAACACCTGAAGTCAGATGATCCACTAAAAGGCAGACAGGAGATACCTGGCTCAGAGGCTATAAACACTTGATAGCAACTCTTACTGAGTTTGATCCTTGAAACACTCATGATGCACTGTGAGACACACACACAGACACACACACAGACACACACACAGAGAGAGAGAGAGAGAGAGAGAGAGAGAGAGAGAGAGAGAGAGAGAGAGAGAGAGAGAGAGAAATTTAAAAGTAAGTAAACTCTGGGCCCACATGCACTTGCATACATCCATGAACACTGGAGTAGGGAGTGGAGTGGATTTGGTCCCAGAAATGTTTAATATCAAGTCTGAACTTCAAGAATAAGTAAAGTAAGGAACGATCGAAAACAACAAATTTGTCAACAAGGCCTGGCTCAGTCAGCTTAGACACTGCAAATACAGCTTTTCTGTTTCTAAGATGGAATAAGCAGTTTGCAGCGCAAACACAATAACAAGTACCAAAGATGTCATGATCTACCCCTTTTCAAGTAAGTTTTCAAAGGTCCCTAGGTAGTCTGTTCCACAACAAGCTCATAAAGCTCTCATTTTTGGAAGGACTATCTCTCATACTTAAGATATAAACCCAACATGTCACTGTTAATAAAGGAATCTTGCCAATTTAACATGCAAATATCACAAGAAGCCAACACCAGTTACTTTGTCACTCCAACTTTGTTAGATGAAGGATGTTATTCTTGATACAAGGGTGATCATTTCCTGCATACATTCCTGGCAGCTCATCGCCCCCATTTGCAGAAATCTGACTACCTCTGCACTTCAAATGCTAGGAATGCATCACCACCCCCATCTACTATCAGCTTTTGTGGAGACAGTGTACATACATGCAATTATTAAGTTCCTAACGTTGATAAGCCATTATTCACCAAACACTTTCAGTAGTCTACCTCTCTTCTGTTTTGTTTGTTAAAGTGAACATGTGTCAAATGTTTTCTTGAACTAAATTAAAAAAACAAAACAAAAAAACAACATCAAAAAAGGTGAGTGACAAACACAGCTTAGAGAAACTGGTTCATTTTAGTCAATGTTAGGATAAATCCCTGGATAATCTCCAGCAACACTATAGATTATAAATATAGTTGCTGGTTTTTTGGCTGGACAAAATAATTTACAACTCTAAAAAAACTATGTCTCAACAGGTTAGCATGTAAACCCTCTAATCTTTGGAATATAATTAAAAATACATGTTTGAATTCTGAATGTTCTCCAAAGCAATCTTTTACTATCATTAGGTTATCCCATCATTTACTTTTATTGACAATATTGACTTTTATTGATTATATTTGTGTAAAGTTCTATTATGCCATAATATTCATTCAGCAAAAGTTGAGGAGTAAGAATCTACATTAGACGCTTCAGGAAGATGTCATATATCATCAGTGTATTAAAGACTATAAGTAGCTAGAACAATGAGTATTCTCAGAGCATTTGTATGATGAAGTAGCAGGGATTTATACAGTAACTGTATAATGTACTTATCATTGTAGCGCCTCATAGCCCCCCACATAATAGGAGAATACATTACCAGAAATAAATAGGTCAATAGACACTATATAAATAGACACTACAGTTGTAGTGTACCTACTTCACCTTAGTTTGTAATCTCAACAGTAGATTCTTTCTTTTTTGCTATGAAGTTAAGGATGGCCTAGAACTTCAAACAATCCTCTAGTCTGGGCCTCTTTTTTTTTTTTTTTTTTTTTTTAAATTTTTTTTAGGTTTATTTATTTCATGTATGTGAGTACACTGTAGCTGTCTTCAGACACACCAGAAGATGGCATCGGATCCCATTACAGAGGATTGTGAGCCACCATGTGGTTGCTGGGATTTGAACTCATGACCTTCGGAAGAGCAGTCAGTGCTCTTAACCGCTGAGCCGTCTCTCCAGCCCTAGTCTGGGCCTCTTAAGTAATGGAATTATAAGCCTGTGCTACCACGTACTGGCTTTATTTTAATTAAAAAAAAAAAAAAGCTTACCTTTTACATATTCAAAGCAGGCCTTACACCTCCACATACCTTTAAAAAATACTTTTAAAAATTGATGTGTGTGCCTGCATCAATTTATGCACACTATGCACATTGGAATTGTAACTGGTTGTGAGCTGATGTTGGTGGGTGTAGGGAAGGCAATTTAGAACCTCTCTAAGAGCAGTAAACAGAGACCACACATTTAACCTTTACTATCCTATATCCAAAGATCTATCAGGTCTTCCTTCTACTTGGTTATAGTTTGTTAAGAAACATGGTGGCTCACATCTCTGCTCCCAGCACTTGGGAGGCAGAAGCAGAAAGATCTCTGAGTTTTGTTCCAGTCAGGGATATGGTGAGGCCCACTCTTAACAGATTTAGCTTTAAAGTGCCATAAACAATGGAAGGGAGGGATGGGGTCTTTTGTTTAATTCCTATAAAAGCTTCTGTATAAAAATAGTAGTTTACTTTGCTAGTCAGAAAACTGAAATTGAAATTAAGAGCTAACACACAGGGTCACCAGAGTACAGCAGCTAACCAAATAGTAAGAGCAAGCCAGTTCTTTCACAATTCCTCATGACCACCATTCAGCTGTCCTGTCTCCTTTACACAGTGCTTAGGTGTAAATTTAATTACTATTTTTATCATGTTCTTTTGCACTCATAAATCTTTCAATTCTCAAACTTGACAGATACTTTTCATTGTTAACTTTTTTTTTTTTTTTGAACTAGGATAGGATACGGTAAATGAAGAGCTAGCTCAAGCAAATAAATAGGGAAGTTTTCTGTGACCTATTTGAATAACTACCTCTTAAGAGACTTTCATCTGGTCGGTCTTCAAGTTTTGATTTGTAAAATCACTTGGATTCACATGAAAGTCAAAACCACTATTGAGTTAAGCCCCGTTTAATTGTTTCCTTTACCCCAACTTCATAGGCAAATTTTCAAGATTAACACTTTTCATGGGGGAGGGCTGGAGCAGATTTTAAGACGGTCTCAATGGTAGAGCCCTAGCTGGCATCATCTTTCTTTGTAGACCAGGATGTCTACAACTGAACTTTTGACGATCCTCCTGCCTCTGTTACCCAAGGGTTAGAATGAGTTGTGCTTCTCAGCTTCGTTTTTTATAATAGATTTTTTATTTTTACAGTCTTACTGTGTGTGAGGTTGTGAACATACATGTAAAGGTCAGAGGATGACTTTCCACAGTAGGTTCCAGGATGTGACTTCTGGTTGCTAGGTTTGTGCAGTAAGAGCTTTTACCCATTAAGCAATCTCAATGGTCTAATGGTTTAAAATTTTTAAAATCACAGTTTATTATTTATTGTGTATAATGTGTGTATTTGTTTGCATGTATACACATACTAGTAAGACTTGGGCTTAGTGAGACATAACTTTTAATCTCGACAAACAAAAGGTAACAAACAGCCAGGGATAAAGGCAAGACTATATCAAAACAAACTCCCAAGACAGAGGCTAGAGGTGGCTCATCACTGGCTCTTCCAGGTTATCTAGGTTCACTTCCTAATATAGCCATCATATGATGGCTATAATCACCAGTAACTCCAGTTCCAGTGAATCCAACTGTCATGGGCATTGAACACAGGGTGCACAAAGACTTACATGCAGGCAAAAACATCCATACACATAAAAATAATAAAGACTTAAACAAATCAGAAAAGCTGTGAACAGCAGCCTGAGATGTGCGTGGCCTATTACTATTCTATCACATAATGAGGCTGGGGGCTCACCTGACATTCCACACACTTTTAGCAATTACAATTGTGCCACACAGTATTCACGACCTGGGTGTGTGTGTGTGTGTATGTTTGTATTTGCACAGGCTGGAGTATGTAGACTGTAGATCTCGCAAGAGCAGTATGAGCTTTTTTACCTGCTGTTTATTAACAGGGCCTTCCACGTGGCAATGAGGTAGCTTCTTCTCATATTCCTTTATACTCATTCCCCTCCCTGTTTGGATACCAAACCCAGAGCAGAAAAGAACTACATGCAAACGAGGAAAGCCAGGAGTGAGAAAGGGAGTCCTCCCTAGGGAAGAGCATACCAACTGGTTGTCCAGTGCAAAATGCTCAGCTCTGAAACATACAAGTAACACTATATAGACTGAGCACACTAGATTTAGAAATGTTAATGAAAAAATAAAGAAACCATAAAGGGGAATGTGGGAAAATTTAGAGAGAGAAAATGGAAGGGTGGAATGTTATAATGATTATTAATTTAAAAAAAAAAAAAAAAAGACACATTCTACCATGCCTGGCCCCTGAAAAAAATTTAAAGAAATATTGATTGTTTTACTTTACTGGCTTCCTATACTAAAAACTAAAATTACAATAAGCAATACAACGTACACAGAGTTGCTCATGAAAATAGTATAGAATGCTGAATGCAACCCAAGTGCTAAATGGCAAGCACAGCAAATGACTATGTCAGAAGAATTACTAAATGACAGTCCTTTGGGAGGCTTCCAATACACTGATTCAGGTTTAAAAACAGTAGTTGCTTACTGTTTCTCCTTCACAAGGTCTCATAATGTAGCCCAGGTTGGCTTTAAACTCTCAATAGTCTTTCTTTTCTGCCTTGGAGTCCCAATGCTGGAATTACAGGTAGAACTCAATACACTAGGTTTGTCATAGAATTAACATAGATTCAATTCTGCTTTGGAGAAAATTTTTAATGCTGGGAACTGGCTGAGACTGTAATGATTATCAAGTCCCCTGGGTGTAAATTTAGGCTTTCCTTCTAAGAATTGATAGTTCTTAATATATAAGAATTTGAAAAATACATATTTACTAAAAGTTTTAAGATTTCCCCCCATATAAACTAAGTAAAACTATTAAGACTACTGATAAAATTGCTGGTAAAATAAATGGATTTATTTTCACTGATTTTTAAAATTTTAAACACATCAGTCACATGGATAGGTTGTAAACAATTTGGTGGGTAGAGATGTGTTGTCTAAGAAAGAATGGCAGAGGGTTCTGATAACTAATCCTGTCATTCATCACCTGCAGGAAATCTTATATTTTAATCACACTCACAGTTCTCCACACATTCTACACTTTTGCAGTTTACAATCTTGTGTGTGTGTGTGTGTGTCTTTGGATGCAGCTCAGTGAAAGCACTTGCCTAGCACACTTAAGGCCTTAGAACTGATCCCTAGTTTTGCAAAAACAAATTTGTTGCTGTTATATTATATTGGACAAGGGCTTCCAAAATAGCATTATTAACATTGTAGTCTTTGACTTGATGGATTATAGTGTATTTTTCATTTGTTGTGGAGGCAGCTCTCACATGCTAGTATTAACAAGAATTCATGGGAATCAATGGTCTAAGCACCTAACACAGTCTCACTCCTAACTAAGAAGCAATTGGCAACTGATACCTGGTGAAAAGGGGAGGTGGGGGGGAGCTGTTTTCTCCAATGGGGTGGGTGGGGGTGTGTCACTGAATTTATCAATCCCTACCCTGAAGAGACAAAGGCAGTTAATGGTTGGTGGAAGAAGAGTCATAATCATCAGCGATAAATTGCTGTTGCTGAATTAAATAAATCTCTATCTACAAAGGAACTCTAATGCAGTGGCCATAAAAAACTAAAAAATATGAATGAAGACAGAGAAATGTTTGGAAGAAGGGCTCCAATGAGTAAGAAGTATAAGAGGATGAACTAGAAGGGAGCATTATCAACATATAGTATAAATAAGTAAATTACTAAAGAATAAATCACTGAGGGGCTGGAGAGATGGCTCAGTGGTTAAAAGCACTGACTGCACTCCTGAGTTCAATTTCCAGCAACCACATGGTGGCTCACAACCATCTGTAATGAGATCTGATGCCCTCTTCTGGTGTGTCTGAAGACAGCTACAGTGTATTCATATATAATAAATAAATAAATCTTAAAAAAAAAAAAAGGAATCATTGAATGCCAGTAGGGCTTAACAACAAATTGGGGGTGGGGGAGTGAGAGGAGACGACAGAGTGCACATGAGTGTAAGTACCTGTAGAGGTCAGTGTGTTTGGACAGCCTAGAGCTAGAGTTACAAATAGCTGTGTGTCAACTAACATGGGTGCTGGGAACTGAACTCAATTTGGGGTCTCTGCAAAATAGCATGCACTTTTAACCCCCAAGCCACAATTTTGAACAGCATTCAAAGCAGGAAAAAGGGGGCAAAAGGTTCAGAGAAACCAAACAGCTTGGTGAGGAACTGGCACAGATCTATAAGGACAAATGTTCAAAGGCTGACATTGTGAAGGAGAAATAGGTTAAGTCCTAAAATGCTCATTTTTCTTGGGGTGTGGAGGAAAGCAAACTCAGGGCAAGGTTCCTAGTGATTGTTATAGGAAAAAAAGAAAGCTGGTTTCAGTTTGCAAAAGGCCATTCTAAAGAGTGCAGGTGTTAGGACATAGGACTTGCAGAGGTAAGGGAAACATCATAAATGACATAGGACAAGGAAAGCAGGCACATAAGCATTAATGCGCAGTCCTGTCAGGGACAGAATGGGACCCAAGCAGCATGGAGACTCACCTTCTGGGCAATCATGTTGCAGATTTCAGGTAGGAAGTCCTCGCTGAGGAGCTTGTAGAGTTGCCGCTCTCGGAGAGAGGTCCTCTCTCGGAAGCTCTCAGTGACCTGTCTCCATTCTTCTTCTGTTTGACACAGGAGCCACCAAGTACCTTGGCCTGGCCCTCGGGATCCTACAGAAAAATGGATGGATTCACTAAAATAGAGACTACACTAGACGTTTTGTTCCTATTACTCCGGGTTATGACTCAAACAAAGGAATCATGAAAAAAGGAGTTGCTAATCTTCTAAAGTCTGATAGTATACTCTTATCTTTTTTAGGATAAGATCTTAATATGTTGCCCATGAAAGTGTTGAACTCCAGAGACCAAGTACTCCTCCTGCCTCAGCCCTTGACAGCATTGGGATTACAAGCATATTACCCAAGGTCTAGTTGATTTTACACACACACACACACACACACACACACACACACCACACTTTTTTTGAGGAAAGGTCTCATTATAGACTAGACTGGCCTTAAACTCACCTACCTCGGCCACCCAAGTGCTTTTAATTTTCCTATTACTATCATTGTAACTAGACAAATGCATAGCAAAAGCAAAGCTAAAACTATTGTGATTTAAAGAAAATTTTAAAATTCTAGAAATGGTTAAAAAGATATTTTCCTAGAAAAATGGTTTTTGAAACTGAGACTGTAGAAATGTGTGCCTTGTCTCTTTTATGATACTACAAATTGGTTATTTCCATCCAAATTTGAAGCATCTGGATTACAGGATTAAGAGGTCAGGTATGGCATATTCCTTTAATACCAGCACTTGGAAGGCAGTGTCAGCCTACTCTATAGAGTCAATTCTAAATGTGTGTGTGTGTGTGTGTGTGTGTGTGTGTGTGTGTATACCAGGTCACTGACTGCTTAATATACTGTGCCAGGTGACAGAATAGAGCAAGTTCTCATCTTAAGTGTCTGTGAGATGGATGGCCGGAGAAAGGATGAAACAGGGAACAAAAAGTAGAAGACAACTGGAAGCATCCTAATATGTGATATGACTGTCATATAATATGTATAAATCGTGTTGAGAGACAGCAACAAAAATTACTGTTACCATTTCTTGTCTGTAGGTCAGATGACAAAGAGTTTTCTTCTTGCTTTTCACTGAAACACAGGAAAAAGAGAAAACAATAAACAACATACTCATATGCCTGAATTGTTTGGTCTTTCTTGAAGGTATGGACTCAGTCAATATAATGGTGGCTAGGGTTGGAATCTGTCAGAATTCAAAGTTAGGAAGAATAATTATAAGAGAAATAAAACTAGAATGGAGGGTGGACTTGCTCCAGAAAACAGGAGCACTGAGAGCCAAGTATCAAGGTTATGGTAGCACCACAACGAAGGGGGAAATGATACAGTCACAATTCTGGTGCTATCCTCTCTGTGACCCAGGGCTACACTAGAAAAAACAAGCCTACTTTACCCTTATCTAAGGAAGGTGCTAAGAACATGAAGTTGAACTGCCTCTGCTCAAGACTGTCACTTGCCAGTAGAGGGTAGTATAAGCCCATATGAATCAATACAATGATTCTACGTCCCCAACATTAAGGTTGGCATAAAACAGATTTCTATAGAAGATGTATGGACTTCTCAGGAAATCCTTGAACAAATGCTCAGTATATAGATCACAAGTGACTACAGGACATTTTCCAAAATACAACAAAGAAGAAACAGGCAGTTGTAATCTACTTAAATTTAACAGATCTTACATACTAGCCATGTGATTTCTAAGAATCCTTCCCATTACCACCTTCTTTTTATTACTACCTTACTAACTAGTCCAGGCTAGCCTGAAACTTAGGATCCTCCTGCCTCTGCCTAGGAATATTTCTTTGTAGTTAAGAGGGAGGAAAGAAAAAGAAATCACGGAAATTGCTACTATAAGGATAGCTAAATTAAGTAGATCTTCTAAACTTGTGAGAAAACGCTGTTGATTCTGTTAGTAGAAATGTTAAGGGCCCTAGTTTAAACCCCAGCTCCTACATTTAAAAAAAGGAAAAAAAAAAGAAAAAAAGAAAAAAGAAAAGCCAGCATGCTGCCTAGTTTTTATGTCACCTTGACACAAGCTAATATTATCTAAAAGAATGGAACCTCAATTGAGGAAATGCCTTAAGGTTCAGCTATAGGATATTTCTTAATTAGTAATCGATGAGGGACTGCCAGCCCATTGTGAGTGGTTCCATCCCTGGGCTGGTGGTCCTAGGTTCTATAATAAATCAGGCTCAGTGTCTGAGAGATCACAGGGGTCCAGGGTAGCTGAGTCTGCTGGTCTTCCTAAGCGGTCGCCCTCATCCTCAGCTTCTTCCAGCCTTTCCCTAATTCGACCACAGGAGTCCCCAACTTCAGTCCACTGGTTGGGTGAAGTGTCTGTCTGTCTCAGTCAATTGCTTGTTGGGCATCTCAGAGGCTAGGCTCTTTTCTATAAGCACACCGTGGCATCAGTAATAGTGCCAGGCCTTGGAGCCTCCCCTTGAGATAGATCCCAAGCTGGGACAGACAGTGTACCTCCTTTCCCTCAGTCTCTTCTCCAGTTCTGTCCCTGCAATTCTTTTAGACAGGAACAATTACCTGGTCCAAGGCCTTTGACACACATACAGCAGAGGACTGCTTGGTTTGACCTTAGTGAGAGAAAATGCTCCTAACCTGAGAGACTTGAGGCCCCAGGGAGTGGGGTGGCCTGGCAGAGGGGTGGGGGTGAGGTGGGAGGTGGGGACATCCTCTTGGAGACAGGGTGGAGGAGGAATGAAATCAAAACTGGGGGGTGGGGGGGAGAGAGAACAGGGGGACCAGGAGGAGGGTAATTACTGGACTGTAAAAAAATAAAACCAATTGAAAGGAAGAGAGGGAGGGAGGGAGGGTTTGGAGGGAGAAAAGGGAAGGGGAAAATTACAATCTCAAAAATAAAACATTGTTAAAAAGGGGGGGGGGGGAAGCAGGCTGAGGAGCTGGAAAGAGTGGCTCAGTGACTGAGAGCATTGGCAGCTCTTCCAGAGGACCTGGGTTCAATTCTGAGCAACCATATAGTATAGTTCACAATTTTAACTCAAGGTCCAGTTGATGTGACTCCCTCACACAGACATACATGAAAGACAAACACCAAATGTACATAAGAATACATAGACAAAAGGGAAAAGGAAAGGAGGCAGGCAGACGGGCAGGGCAAGCAATAGGAAGCAAGACAGTAAGCAGCATGCCTCTATTGCACCTGTAGCAGCTCCAGGTTCCTGCACTGTTTGAGTTTCTGTCCTGATGTCCTTCAATGAGGAACTGAATGTGAAAGTATAAGCCAAATAAACCCTTTCCTCCTCAACTTGCTTTTTGGTTTTGGTGTTCCATCACAAGAGAAACGCTAACTAAGACAGCCAGGTAGCCAGGCATGGTGGTACACACATGTAATTACAGTTCTAGGGAAGAAGACCATATCAAGGAAGATACCAACATCAAATTCTGACTTCCATGTCCACACATCCACATCCACAAAAGGTAGATCTCCCTAAGAAATAATGACACATTAAATTTCCCAAGTATTATAAAATGTATTCTCTTTTTCCTAAAATTAAAGATTCAGAAAATATTTTACATTTTATCTTTTTCTCATTGTAGGAATGTACGTGTTCAAGCACCTTACTACAGTAGAGGAATTAAACCAGATGGTGATGGCATAGGAAGCAGAGGCAGGTGGATCTCTAAGTTCAATCAAGGCCAGTCTAATGAACAAAACAAATTCCAAGACAGCCAGGGCAACACAGAAAGACATTGTCTCAAAAACAAACAAACAAACAAACAAACAAACACATCTAAACCTGTATCCTTGTATATTCTACCAATGCACTATATCTATAGTCCACAAATAACCACAGAACTAATTTGACCCATTCTAGTTGTATAACAAATTTTAAAATATACACTAAAAAGAATGTTTACCAAATACTATGGGGTCTTCATCTTCTTGTACTGCCATGTACTGTACGGTGCAGTTTAATCCTCACCAAATGAATAACCGTCATCCAAATAAAGTAACAGGCTCAGGCAGATAAATTGATAGATAGCAGCCATACAAACAGGGCTGCTTGATAATTTCATGTGGACTGACTCCAGTCTCTATACCTATGACCTATGTCCTCTCCATGCACAAGTAAAAATAATAAAGATGAGGTGAGACCAGTATAAGAGTCTATTAAAATGGACCAATGAGATTTCTTACCTGGATATAATCTCCTCCTGTAGCTTTTTTCGTTTTGGAGGCCTTCCTCTTCTTTTGCCTGTTTTTCCAGGAACATTTGAGACATTTTTTTGCCTTTCACTTTCCCTAAGAAACAGTATCATTAAATAGAAATGTTCTGACATAGTACTAACAACTAATATGATTTCTGTATTAGGAATTACAGTGTTTTCTGCCACAAAAGTACAAAAATGGATTATACAAAATAGAATAAACAGGGAATAGAGTAATTTCTCTTCCATAAGGATTATCAAAATATAGAATAAGATAAAACTGACATTTACGGTATTAAAAAGAACCTAACATCTTCCTAACATCAAGTACTGTTCTAACAGTAAGGAAGTCTCAAAACCAGAGCAACACTATAGATGCCACAGGAATGAGGCCACTGCTTATTTAAGAAGCATGTGATACAAGGCCTCACTTTGCATCATGTAAGATTCTGTCATATGGTTACGGAGCCTCAAGGCAGATTAATAATCCTAATAGGAAAAAGGTACTCAAAGACTGCTGTACTAAACAGTCTGCAGAACTGATAAGTACAGGTACTTATCAGGAATTTCTCCATGTTCCAATCACAGTATTTTTCACCAGTCTTGTGGCAGAGGCTACAGAGTAATTCCTTTGTATTTCAGTATGAAACTCGTTGCCATTCTGCTGCAGGCATGTCAATACAACTAATTATTGCATTGAAAAAAAAAATCAAAATGTTGTATTGTTCTGATACACTAACTTTCATAGCATTTTTAACAGGGCAGTTTTCACAGCCCTGACTAATATTATTAGAGACAGTACCTGCTAAAGGAGAGTTCTCCATTAGACCTTCCTTGTACTGGGTCTTCTTTGTACATTCGTGTCCCATAGAAGTACCAATAGAGTGCACCTGAATTGTCTTCACCCAGAGGTTCAACTCGGAGACTGTCTGCATCCAGACCCTGTGCAGAAAAAAGCAGTTTTGAAAAATACGAGTAACAACAACGACGAAAACAAAAAAACAGGAGAAAACTAAACAGTCAACTCAAAATTTATACTCAGCCACCTCATATTTTAAAATGTCAATGTGCTTTATGTAACTTTCTATCAGGCAAATGAAATACAGGCAGAACAAAATGGGTATGTATTATCTTCTTTGAAGAATAAGATGACGAAATTATAGACCCCCGCCCCCCATACCCAACTATAGCTTCCACAGTTGGCTCACACAGGAAGAGGAATCAAAAATAATTCTACAACCATTTGGTTTAGAATTGCTACCTTATCTGTACTCATGTGAAACGAAGGACAATCACACTGAGTACAATAACAATTCTCAATACAGTTCTCTCACTCTAAGACAGAACAGTCCAGAGCAGCCTCATACTCTCAACAATCCTCCTGGTTCAGCCTCCCAAGTGCTGGTATTACAGAGGCTCAACAGGCGTGAGCACCTACCATTCAAATTTCCAAACACATCAACCAGACAGCAACTTTAAAAGGAATATTTAGCCGGGCAGTGGTGGCGCACGCCTTTAATCCCAGCGCTTGGGAGGCAGAGGCAGGCGGATTTCTGAGTTCGAGGCCAGCCTGGTCTACAGAGTGAGTTCCATAGAAACCCTGTCTCGAAAAACCAAACCAAAAAAAAAAAAAAAAAAAAAGAAAGAAAGAAAAAAGGAATATTTATTTTTAATTCATGTGTATGCATTCATCTATGTGTGTATGTTATGTATATGTTCAGATGAGCATGGAAGATAAACAGGGCATTGGATCCCATGAAGCTGTAATTACAAACAATTGTGAGCTACCCAATGTAGGTGTAAGAGACCTGAAACTGGTCTTCTGGGAGATCAGTGAGGACTCTGAGCCATCTTTCCACCCAACACAGCACCTTATTCCAGCTGAGATCCAGCAAAACAATTCCCAAAGTACTACAGGGCTGGATCTGCACTGGCCTTCCCACTGTTACTGCAAGCGCTCGGCAGAGATTACACTAAATTATATGACTTTATGTGTCTGCGCACAGGGCTCAAATGACAACTATTACATTTAATCATCTGACTAAATTGGATTAGAAATTACCTCCCACACTGATTAGTGGCACACACCTTTATTCCCAGTGCTTGGGAGGCAGAGGAAGATGGAGTGCTCAGCCCAGTCTATATAGAAAAACCCTATCTCAAACAAAAACAACAACAACAAAATTGACTTCACTATTTGTGAAAGTATTATTCCAACTCCATTCTCATTACATATATAAAATAGGTAACAAGAATATATATTTCTAAAATAGGTAACATCAATAGAGTAAGGAGGACAAAAGAAATGCCCAAATCTTCCTTTAATGTTTTGTTTTTAAATTGGACTATGTATAAAAATATTTAGTTTCAAGTCTCTAGAATTTGACTAGTATATACAGTTGTTTTATGTTAAGACATACAAGAAGATGAACCTACAAGTAGGTTCTCCTATCTGAGCAAGGGCTCAGGAAAAAAAAAGTAACAAATTTTAAAGCCATATCCCAACATGTCTGGCATTCCTTTGGCTATGTGGGTGTGGCTGTGTATATAGGTCACTATTGATTGTGAGCATGAAGACTTACTGAGAACAAGCTAAACTCTTGCTTCTCAATCAATTTTCACACTCAAAATGTTGGCTTTTTTACTCTCTAGAAAAGGAGCTTACTAGACTGGTACCTTGAGAAGATCAAAGACATCATCTGCATCGAGCCGGTAATCACAGAGGCGATGCAGGATCTCCACTCGAGTACGCAGAGGAAGGTCTTGGAAACTGGCTTCTCTCAGAGGATTGGGCTTTCCTTCTTCAAGCTCCCAACGGTAGTTAATGATATCTTCCAGGTAGCTGTGGAATGTCTGAGGCCTAAATCAAATGGCCCCAAATGCATAAATACATTAATATAAAACAGAAGATAGGGAGAGGAAATGGATAGGTTGACAGTTTATAAAAGAATGTGAAAAAAACCCTTTTGTTGAAGAATTATGTATTATCATTTTATAAAATCCCTAAAGATAAGCCTTTTCAAAGTTTTTTCATATAACTGGTTATATTACGTTAAAACTACAGATGGGAAATCCTAGTCAATAGTATAAAATGCAAAAGACAAACAAGTCTTATCCTTTGTCCGTACTATTAAGGAGGCTTATAGAGTTCTCATAAATATGAGCTTTAAAAAGTTGGGGTGTGACTTAAAACAGTGCACAAATATGTAAAATACCTTCACAAATGGATTTACTTATATTTCAGGTTAAGACACAAAAGTATAGAAAAACATCTTACTACCAGGTTACTCTAATGTGTAACCATACTATATAACTTTTTTTAGATTTCTCTATTTATGTATTTATTTTATATGTATGGGTACTTTGTTTGCATTTCTATCTGCATACCAAAAGATGTCACCAGAGTTATGAGCTGCCAAGCTGGGATGAATTTAGGACTTTCAGAAGAACAGTGAGTCTTTTTAACCACTGAGCCATCTCTCCAGCTCCTTAATTTTCTTTCTTTAAAAAATTAATTTATGCTAGGTGTGGTGCTGCACACCTTTAATCTCAGCACTTGGGAGGCAGAGGCAGGTAGGTCTACCTGAGTTCAAAGCCAGCCTGGTCTACAGATCAGAACAGCCAGAGCTATGTAGAGAGACACCATCTTAACATGCCACTGCAACAACAAAACAAACAAAAACACACTGAATGATTGGGGTGGTGGTAGGGTTCATGTATATATACTATAGCACATATGTGAAGGTCAGAGAACATCTTGTGGCAGCTGGTTCTCCCTTTCTACCACGAGGGCCTGGGAATCAAACTTCAGTTGTTAGGCTTGGTGGCAAGTGCCTTTATCCTGAGCACCTTTATCCTCCTGAGTGCCTTTATCCTCCTGCTAGCCTGTCATTCTTTTTACACATCTCCTATGTTGTCTGGCCTGGTCTTAGTGCTTAGTTTCATGTGGTCCTCTAGCCACTGTTTCCTACTATCTGGAATACAGGTACAGGTAGGTATATATATATATATATATGTATATATATATATATATATATATATATATATATATATATACATATATATATATATATACTGTTGTAACTGGGTAATTTAAATACTGAACATAATTATTTCACATACTAGACAGCTAACAGCTGTAACTCCAGGTCTATGAGAATCTAACACCTCTGGCCTCTTTAAGCACTTGCACATATGTATACATACAAACACATAGAACATGCTAATCAAGTAGAAGAGTGATGCTGAGGAATGAGGATGAGGGAGAGCCAAGTGACTAACAGTGAACAAGGCACATCTGGGTGTGGAAAAAGCACTCTGAGAATATGATGGCTCCCTCATTTTGTATTATATCCCAAATCAATGAAACCCAGCACAGACAACAAACAGAAAAATAACCAAATCACAGTAAACGAAGTGCACTGGGGAAATGACTCGGTGGCTAGTGTTTGCTGTGCAAGCATGAGGACCAAGTTTTGGATCCCCAGCAGCTACATAAAAGCTGGGTAGGGTGTTACATCTCTGTAAGCTTACCAATGGAAGAGGAGTGTGAAGGCAGGTAGGATCCTGGGGCTGCTATTTTGGCAGTCTGAGTAAGCAAGTTCACAGAGACTCTGTCCCAGTAAATCCTTGCTATGCTAGGCAGTGATGGGGCACCCCTTTAATCCTAGCACTTGACAAGATTTCTCAGTTCGAGGCCAGCCTGGTCTATAGAGCAAATTCCAGAACAGAGAAACCCTGTCTGGAACTCTCCCCACAAGTCTTTACTGTATATACATGAGGACCAGAGTTTGTATTCCCAGCACTACCACCATGGCAGGCAGCTTATATATCCAGCACATGGGAGGCAGAGAGAAGAAACTGACTGAGCAAGCTGACTAAAGGATAACATAAATCTGAGTTCTAGGTTCAAATGAGAGGCCCTGCCTCAATATATAAAGTTAAGAGCTATGGAGAAAGGCTCCTGAACTCAACTTTACAGTCTTTACATATGTGCACACACATGCATAAACAGATGTTTAAACAACATACATTTATTGGGGGAAACACTCTGATGTCATCCTCTGGCCTATAGACATAACTGCACAAACATCTGCACATACATTACATATTTATCTTATACACACATAGTAAATGGGAATTGGCTAGACATTTTACTTTAAGGGCAGATGTTGGGGCTGGAAAGATAGATAAGTGGTTAAGGCACTATTTATACACAGGACCTAACTTTGGTTCCCAGGATCCATATCCAACGGCTCATAACCACCTCTAAGTCCAGTTCTAGAAAATTTCATGCCTTCTTCTGGTCTCCAAGATGACCCACATGTAACACACACACACATAATTAAAATGCAGATTACCTATAAAATATAATATAAATATAGAAATGACGATTAGAGGACAGAACATTAAAACACACACACACAGAGAGAGAGAGAGAGAGAGAGAGAGAGAGAGAGAGAGAGAGAGAGAGCGCCTAAGAAAAATGAGTAGGGTTGGAGTTACGCTCAGTGCCAAAGCACTTGCCTAACATTTGAGAGGCCTTAGGTATGAATCACAACTCTGAACAACAAAGATTACACCAGAAGGTTAAGTGACTTCAGGGGTTAGAGACTGACATGCTGAATATAAATTTTTATGTTGGCTTGCTGTCAACCCTAAAGACATGACTTTGGAGCCCCATAACCCACATGGTAGAAGGAAAGAATGAATTCTTTCAAGTTGTTCTCTGACTTCCATTCACAAGTACTCATAAACATACACGCAAATAAAATTTTTTTAAATATAGAACTACAATTATAGAGGACTAACAATAAGAAAACAATCTTTTCCCCTTTGGGGGGATAGAATCTTAATTTACTTAAGTTTGGGCTTGCCTCAAATTCACTATTATAAACAAAGATGATCCTGAACTTCTGGGAGATGAGGGCCTTGTATATGCTGGGCAAGCACTCTACCAACTAAGCCTCATGCTCAAGTCTCAAAACCAACTCTTAAAAAGTTAAAAAAAAAAAAAAATCAAGAGCTGGAGAGATAGCTCAAGGGTTAAGAGCACTGGCTGCTCTTTCAGGAAGCAGGTCTCTCTCATTCCCAGCACCCTCATGTCACCTCACAAATGTCTCCAGCTCCAGTCCTAGAGGATCCAATGATCTCTTCATGCCGCCACACACTTCACACATTTGGTGCATAGACTTACATGGAGCCCAAACACCCACACACATTTAACAAGAATGGTAAGGTTATCCTACTCAACTTGAGGAGATATCTGACCCCTGCATAATAAAATATACACTTCAACAAATAGTAAGGACAACTATTTCATCTCATATATAAACACTAACCAGGGCAGCCACACAAAGAGAAACTTGGTTTTGGAGGGTGGTAGGGTGTGTGGGTGGGGTGGGTGAGGGTCTCAAATCCAGTCCACTCTGATGACCCAACCTGTGTAAGATCATTCTCTTACATGGTACTTTGTGAATTCATCTTTGACCACCCTCTTCCTGACTGGTACTTGCTGGATTCTCTTAAAAACTATGTTAATCTTCTTTTATGTGTATCCTAGTTTTCATTTTATATTTGCCCAACCTTATTTATGTGTCATGGTCAGCTGCTAGGAGTGCCTAGGAGGAGCCACTATGGCTGCTTATTCCAATGACAAAGCTGATTTCTAGAGAGCCAGAGGCTAATAGAGCATTGCTATCTCTAACAGTTCTGCCAAGTTCTCCTACTTGGGAGTAGGTTCTATTACACTCAAGGACTATATGGATTATATGGGCCACCCTCAGAGCCCAACAACCACCCACACAATCCCATTTTTCAACAGGGCTAATTTTTTAATCTCTTGATCAAATCCAAGGCTCCAACATGCAAGGTGAGTGCTCTATCACTGAGCTACACCCTCAAGTTTTAAAACAACACTTTTAGTTAGCAATAAACAAATTCCTTAACATACCCCGACATGCACATCCTGAAGCAGAAGGATGGACTTGAACTCCTGGACCATTACAGATGTGACCTGAAAACTTTTGAACTAAAGCTTTATTCTCTCAGACAAAAAGGATTTCTAAATAAAACAAATCTAATTAGACTGAAGATTCTCACTAAGTTCCACTGTGATCTTCAGGAAGTTCAGCCTAGATGAGTGAGATGGTATAGAATACTACAAGCATGGGGGCGGGGCGAGGACAGGATGACTTGGATGATGCACATTTGATTTGTTGTAATCGCCTCACTCGCCTCAGTTACAGAAACCAATTTTCAAGCATATGGTTCATGCCTATAATCCAGGATGCAGGAGGCTGAGTTACAAAGATTGTAGTGAGTCAGAGGCCGGCCAGGTGTACTCTATCTCAATTGCTTCCTCTGGGATGGGAGGGTGGGGAGATAAAGTACTAGATGGTAACTGAAGTTCTTTGCATGGCTATATTCTAAACTGCAGTTAAGCTTGGAATGAAAAACCTTCTAATGCAGACACAATCCAGCTAGGGGTGAAGGAAGGCAATAAACAGTAATGTAGGACGGAGTATATTTCACCAGTGAAAATGAGGTGTTTTCTCATCATGTTATATATATTACAGGTACCTCAAAGTGAACATGTATACTCATTATCAGTTGAAGACAAAATGCTAAGAAATTAGACCTGTTGCTAGAGTTTGCAATGTAAGGAATTTAGACAGACATCATTGTATCAGGACAGAGGTGAAGCACAGCTGTTAAAAAGTCCTTGATTTCTCAGTT